AAGAAACCTCCAGCAGAACAAGGCCTTACTCATTCAAGGTATTTGGCCATGGCTGATTTCCTTGTCACCTCTTCAAGGTTGCCTTTTCCTTGTGGGATTCCAATGTACTTGTAGCTGTCCTCAATGTCTGCTATTGTTCCTTCTGGGAGTGAGACACCCTCTGTGTGGACTACCCTCCCTCTCTTAGTTACCATCCGACCACACTTCTCTAGTCCGAATGACTTTCCGATATCTGTGCTGAAGATCCGGGTGGTATGGATCAGTGAGTCAATGTCTTGCTCATTCTTAGCCTACAGCTTGATGTCATCCATTTAGAGGCGGTGACTGATGGTGGCTCCGTTCCTGAGTCGGTATCCGTAGCTAGTTTTGTTGATTATTTTGCTGAGGGGGTTCAGACCCATGCAGATCAGCAGTGGGGACCGTGCATCTCCTTGGTATATGCCACATTTGATGGAGACCTGTCCAAGTATCCAAGTTGATGTTGTATAGCTCCAAGCATTCAACAATCCAAGTATGTGGCATTGAGTGGTAGGCTTTCTTGCAATCAATCCAGACAATGCTTAGGTAAGTGTTTTAAGTTCTGCAGTCTTGAGCGACTGTTCTATCTACCAGGAGTTGTTGTTTGGCCCCTCTGGTATTTTTGCCAATACCCCTCTTAGCTGTGCTCATGTATTGATCCATGTGCCATTATCTTAGTCTCTAAGATCCCGGACATGAGCTTCCATGTTGTGGAGAGGCAGGGTATGGGCCAATAGTTGGATGGGACTGTACCCTTTGAGGGGTCCTTCAGGATCAGGATTGTGCACCCTTCGGTTATCTGTTCAGGTTGGTTCCCATCTCTCAGCAGCTTGTTCATCTGTGCTGCCATGCGTTCATGAAGATCCGTGAGTTTCTTAAGCCTGGCTTAAGAAGCTCACGGATGAATCACTGGGTGATTCGAGGCTGGTAATACTTTCACTTTTTTTATTCAATAAGTGTGCCCTTCTGTTAGATGTTTGCATACCTTTTAGAGATGAAACGTAGGTACATGTAAAAAGGCTAGGTAAAAAGCAGAGTCTAAATTAAAAACACACTTCACTCATATAAATGTCAACACAGTTCTGAGAGTGATAATCTATAAATATTTAAATAAAGAGTGATAGTAATAAATAAAGTATTTCATTGTGTTTTTTATCCATGTGTGGAAGGAATGCCAGCATAACCATTTTATCCTTTCTTTCCTTGTGATTTTACACACTCTGTCAATCCCTTCCATATATAGAAATCAAGAAGTGTATTTATATAATATCACTTATGCTAAATGTGCTCAGTGTTATAGGTGTTTTTATCATATAAAATGGGCTGTAAGTAAACGTAATTACATTCTCTTATTAGGTTGATGCAGTGATATAAGCCCAACTTACTGTACAGTCAGTTTGTATCTTTGTACCATCCACTCAGGCCTACATGTATTACTGTTCAGTCCCAATGATGTTTCTTCTAATGTATTCTGATTCAAGTTTAAATCTAATTATAAGCAGTTCAATTCCAACTAATCAGAATACAACACAGTCAGATTAAATTATTAATAGATTGATGTCTTTCTATGGAAAACAACAGATTGAATTGATTTTCTTGTTTTTTTGTGTTTCTGATATATTTAAAAAGACTGTTGCTTTTTAAATGTCCTCTTTGTTGTACTCCGGAGTAAGCAAAGCTTTTAAGTTGATAAGAAAAATCCCTTTAGTAAAACCTGATAACTGTCCCATTTGCCTGGTGCAGGGAATGGCGACCTTCACAATTCGGAGAGCCATTTTTCCCTCTGCCCTATATAAAACACCATAAGAACCCAGAAATCTACTTCACCTTTTAAAGTCAGAGCATCTAAATTCTGGAAGGTCCAGCTGTTATGTTGTTTTATTAAAGTTTTAGAATAAAAGAGAAAGTTCCATATGAAATGATAGATAATAAAGAAAAAAAGCCTCTTAATGTCTCTAATAGAATTTGAAGGTAGAGACTGCGTAAAAAGACAGAAAACTGTTATGACTAGTTTTGGTTTTTTTAAACAGTACAAAATCTATGGGAGAATTATCCTGCCATAATGCAAGAGCACATAATTTCAATTTGAGAAAAGAATTTAATCTTCTTGCACTCAAAACTTATAATGCTCACACTCAAAACATGCGCTCTCTCTTAAATATTTCCTTCTTGCACTCAAAACTTATAATGCTCACACTCAAAACATGCGCTCTCTCTCAAATATTTTCTCTTCTCTCTCAAATCTTTGTTTCTTCTCTCAGATTTAACGCTTCTTGCACAGATATTTTCTCCTCTCGCTTGCCTTCTCCTCTTTACGCACAAACCGCGCTCTGCTCGAGTCTGAAATGCGCTCACAAACCTGTAGGCTCTGCTTGCGGATTTTTTCTGCTCTCTCGCGGATTGCAGTTGGATCGTCGCCTAGCAACCTTTCCAGCCAATAGAACGACAGCCTGGGAAAGGGTGCGCTTGTTTAACCCTACTGAGTGTGCCTGTGCTACTACGTCACTTATAAGAGCGCCAGCTGAAACTGCTATTTACTAGAGGTGGGCGATACCGGGATTTTTTAATCGATCCGATACCAAGTAAATACTGGGTCAGTATCGCCGATATCGATACCGATACTTTTTACATTTAAGCTGCACTTGCCTGTTGCTTTTTTTCTATAAAGTTCTCAATCGTGGAATAAATAAGAGATTATCTAATGTTAGCTTATTTTAGCTAACAATTTTTAATGGGATAAATGTACTGGGTTTTTTCAAGGTCTTAACTACACTTTCTGAGTAATATATGATGTATAATGAAGTGCTGCAGACGATGACCACTGTTATCTACCTGGATATTCTCTGGAGGACTGAAACGCTTGGGTCAAAGATGTCTGTCTGAGGCTGGAGGCGGGTCTTTGGTCTCTCTCTCCATCCAAGTCTGAGTGAGCACTCACCCAGCAACCGGCAGCGCGGTTGTCTGTGTGACGTAGTGCTGAGTGGGCAGGCCAAGCTAAGCCTGCGCGCTGATTGGCTGGCGCCGCTGAGCCATGTGACTGTAGGAGAGGGGAGGGGGAGCAAAGTGCTGTTACACATATGGGGAAACTGGTGACTCCGCAGCAGTCAGCGCGCGCGAGAGAGGATAAAAAGTATCGATCTTGTTAAACGAATATTGTTCAATATAAATACCAGCGTTGGTATCGATAGTATCGATCCTGGGATCGATCCGCCCACCTCTACTATTTACAGTAGTTTTGTGGCTCGATTCAGCAAAGTTGAGTACTAATGGATAACCCAAACAATTCTGAATTAAGTACTTTTAAACAATTAGTGGTTTGTTATGTACAAAAGCAAAGAACCAACCAAATTATTATCTTGAAATACTTTGTTAGTATTAATTTCAAAATGTAGGGGAGAAAATAAATTTTTTACAAAAAGTTAAAATGTTGGATGGTTATTTCCATTTATTATTATGGTGTTATGTGTCCAGTCAGCTTTCTTATTGACGTGAACACCCAGGTATTTGAAACTCTCCACAGTTTCCATGTCCTGCCCCTGAATGTTCACACGGGGGTCGTCTCCTGAAGTTGATTACCATCGCCTTGGTCTAACTGGGGTTTAAACACAGGTGTTTTTTCTCACAACAGTCCACAAAGTCGATGATGACTGACCGGTACTCCAGCTCATTCCCCCCAGACACACAGCCCACAAGGTGAAGGTGTAGAGGGTGAAGAGAAATGGAGACAGGACGGTGGCCTGGAGGCCGCAGTGCTGCAGACTGCCACCTCTGACTGATAGCCTTGCAGCCACAGGGCTGTCAGGCAGAGAAAATCCTGACTTTGATTTTCTTATAGAAGTCAGGAGAAAAAGATTTCTCTTCCAGGGTCAAGTCAACCACGCCTCCGAAAATTAACCATCTCACTCTTAACTAAATATAAAATTTGAGGTCTGATTAAACATGATAATAACATTTAAATAAATAAATACAAATTTTAATATCATAATACAGTACTTATTATTTATGAACCTGCTGATATAGCCAACAAACCGCATAGTTAGTCCAATGAAAAGCTCCTTTGAGGTGAAAACAGCGGTGGCTTTCAGAAGACATAAGTCTCCTTTCCTTGTAATGTCCTACTTGAGCTGCGATTGTACTCCTCTTTCGAACCAATTGTCCACTCATCCAACATTTTAAAACATTCATAACTCACTGACTGGTTAAAACATAAAGATTTGCCATTATACTAACAAAGTATTTCAAGATAATAATTTAATATGTTGGTTCTTTGCTTTTCTACATAACAAATCACTAATTTTTTTAAATTACTTAATTCAGAATTGTTTGGGTTATCCATAAGTACTGAACTTCGCTGAATCGAGCCACAAAACTACTGTAAATAGCAGTTTCAGCTGACGCTCTTATAAGTGACGTAGTAGCACAGGCACACCCAGTAGGGTTAAACAAGCGCACCCTTTCCCAGGCTGTCGTTCTATTGGCTGGAAAGGTTGCTAGGCGACGATCCACCTGCAATCCGCGAGAGAGCAAAAAAAATCCGCAAGCAGAGCCTCTTGGTTTGTGAGCGCATTTCAGACTCGAGCAGAGCGCGGTTTGTGCGCAAAGAGGAGAAGGCAAGCGAGAGGAGAAAATATCTGTGCAAGAAGCATTAAATCTGAGAGAAAAAACAAAGATTTGAGAGAAAAGAGAAAATATTTGAGAGAGAGCGCATGTTTTGAGTGTGAGAATTATACGTTTTGAGTGCAAGAAGATGAAATTCTTTTCTCAAATTGAAATTATGTGCTCTTGCATTATGGCAGGATAATTCTCCCATAAAAATCCCTATTCATCATTTTGGCCTGCTGATGATGGTCTAATTAGCTACATACTGCTCTGGAGCCACATGTTTCAAATCAAAGACTTTTTGGCTTTTGCTAAAAATGTTTTCCTGTAAGTCTCTTGGAGATTTTTATTTTCTGAAAAATGTCTCGTTTTCTCCTCTTCAGCTCTTCTCCATCGTTATATTCGGCTGTATCGCCAACGAAGGCTACATCAATCGCCCAAATGAAGTGGAAGAGTTCTGCATCTTTAACCGCAACCAAAATGCCTGTAACTATGGCGTGTTTATGGGCTCCATGGCTTTTCTCTGCTGTGTTGCCTTTCTGGCATTGGATGTCTACTTTCCTCAGATCAGCAGCGTTAAAGATAGAAAGAAGGCTGTCCTGGCTGATGTTGGAGTTTCAGGTAAACCTACTCGTATTCTTTCCCTATTTCTATCCAACTATAGTGACTTGCCAGAACAAGTAATATCCTTTGAACATTTTGCAGTCCCAAAATTAAATGTATTCATGAGGATTTCATGTCATGGACTGCCACAAAGACTTGCACACCTGTGAAGTGGAGGGAAATGGAATATAAAAGATGTGGATTTGTATTCAGTCCCTTTACTCTGATAAACCTAAATAAAAACACATATATATCGCAGACTACATGTTTTCAGAAGTAATCTGATTCATAAAGTCTATATCTAAAATGATGTTATGAAGTTGTTAGGAGTTAAATGCATCATTAATAGGGATGGATACCAAATTCTTTACTTGTCTTGGTACAAAGCGAATTCCGTCAGTACTACCAGTACCTAATAATGTAAAACCAAACATGTTTTGGTACCTAAAGGCATCATTGTATCACAAAGGGAGTGAAGTAGTGATTGATTTTCAATGAAGGACATGAACGCATCATCACATGCACAGGACCTTGACAACATCCGAAGCTGCAGCCACAGTAAACAAAGCAAGCATGTCTAATAGGACTCCACTTTCCAAAATAAGTTTTAGACTACATTCACTGCATTATTAGTTAAGTGTACAGCCAGCAGCAGGAATACTTAAAATCCGAGGAAGCATCTGGTTAAGCGCAAGATTTTTTCAGAAGGCTGAAGTGTGCACGGTTTTCAACAGCCTCAGGACTTTTAGCATCCGTTAGCTTCTCATCGTCTGCAGGCAGCAACAGCAGAACTATCTTCTTCTGCTTCAGGTTTATAAGCCTAGTGTTTCAAATTATGTTTGCATGATACTAAAACTATGGAGCTAAATCAGTGAAACCTTGCATTGTCAACGAATGTGAGAGTTTGCATTGCAAATTAAAAAGCTGAAAGACTAAAGACTCAAAATTCAAACATCTTAAAGTCAAACATTGAAAATTCAAAATGTTATTTAAAAAAGGAAACACTGGTGTTGATACTGTCATCTTTGGCCTTTAGGACATTAATAATGCCCTCTTTAATTGAATCTACCTTTGAAATTAAGAAATTATCTCTGAACTGAATTGAGTTTTGCATTGAATTTACATTAGAACAAATGCATTGTATTTCATTTCACCCTTACATTTCTGTGAGTTATTACATTTAACGAAAGCCTTAATTTCTTTAATGAATACATTTTTGATCATTTAAAAAAAAAGTGCCTTCTTTGATGTATATATTGTTGTGGATCATAGTGACACATTATTTAAAAACTGTGAACATCTTTTATTCAGCTTTTGATTTTAAACTGTGAGCACAAAAAAAAAGCGGTGGAGGATGTTAAGGGGATTTGCTGAAGCAACAATGCGTAATTTTCAGCAACATCTAATGGTCAGACAGCAGTGTCATGAACCGCCTCTCCACACCGCCTCTTCCCTCCAAGAATATAGAGGACGTCGTGGTCCACTTTACCTATGTTGTCAAGTGATGATGAGGTTTATTTACATTAGATCACAGCATCAAATCCATAAATCCTTTAATACTGTTGCCTCAAGTACATTGACAAGTATGCATTAGTCAATTCATGACTAATCCTTGTGCCCTCTTCTGGGCCAACAGTAAAGTTTCCCGGCAGGCCTCTCCAAGCTGCCGCTGATCTCCTCAGCTCTCTTCCAAAACTGCCACTGTGGTTCCTTGGATACAGAGCTGTCCAGCTCATCCCTGTTATGGAGCTCTCTCTCTCGGCTGCTGCTCTCACACTGATTCCCCTCTGAGTTCAGGAAAGCTATCTCCCCTTACCTCTGTTGTCCGGGTGATTCGTACCTGTTTCGGGCACTCTGACCAAAACAAACACGGGCTGAGGGCAGAAGAAAAATGCCTGTCTGCTCAGAAATACAAAAAGCAAAAAGAGCAACAACCAGTGCTAGAAATTGGTCCTTTTCACAATAACCGGATGGTTGCCGGTCATGGCCAGTATAGGTCTAATTTTCTAATTTTCTAAATAGTACTTTTATTGTATAAACAAACTGTGTAAGTTTGTATATAGGCCTAACTTGCCGCAGTCCCGTTCTAGCTTAAGGGGGATCACGGATTAAGACTTTCAGTTCATAGGTGATATAAGTAACTTCCATATAGGTCATATATTATAGCTACTCCTGTGCTTTAGTTTTTCACAGTCTAATCTCTGCTGCAGCGTGACTGGTGAACAGGACAAGGTTGTCAAGCCTCGTGGCTTTTAATGAGGTAGTTCCTATAACAGGCAATATTTTCTTTTCCTTTTTTTCAGTGTATACATCCCCTTCTCTTTGTCACTGTACGTTTCCAAGGTAGTTGGATAAAACAGCTGGAAATCTGATCAGATAGGGATGCCTACTTTTGCTCTATAAAAACAAAACAATAAAACACTGTTTTTTTTAAAAACATTATCCAAAAAAGTACAAAAAAAGAAAGAACTTAAATCAAATTAGTCTAAGAGACTTGTACATCAAGCGAACTAAAATCTGTTCTTGTTAAGATTACTGTATTAACTAAACCAGGTAAATAAGCTTCTGTGATCCTGAACATTTAATCGATATTCAAATTCTAACGATCTTTTCTCCCCCTTTACAGCATTTTGGTCGTTCATGTGGTTTGTGGGTTTCTGCTTTTTGGCCAACCAGTGGCAGAGGACCAAGCAGGAGGATAACCCCCTGAGAGAGGGAGGTGACGCTGCCCGGGCAGCTATCACCTTTTCCTTTTTCTCAATCTTCACCTGGGTAAGGGTGTCTGATTGCTTTAATTAGTCCACAAAACAAACAATGCATCATGTCACAAAAGTTGGCGAAGGGCATCTATTTTTCAGAGCTTCTAGGATACTGAGGAATGTTAAGCAACAGAGCTCATGCAGAATTAACACATTTGTTGGGCTCCATGGTTAAGATGTGGTGAAAGCCTTAAAATAAAGTGATCTTGTAGTATTATACTTGTGGTAGTATATTTTACAGAAAACTTTAGAAAATCAAACCTTTAACCTGAGATCATTTACATGCTTTTATTTTGAAGAATGGATTAGACAAATTAGTGACACATCATGGTTCCATATGTGGGGAATAGAAAGCAATCAGATTAAACTAAAAGTTAAAAGTAAAAAAAAAAATTTGATAGTTGTTTAAATTCTTTTCTCAAAATATTTTTGTTTCCATCTCACTGAATGTTCTTAAATTTAGAGTTGGGTTTTATTTTAGTGTGAAAATAAAACACTGCTGTAAAAGGCTAAATTCTTTTAACTCTTTACAGATATTTACCAGCCATTAGCTTCCTCTTCTTATATATATATATATATATATATATATATATATATATATATATATATATATATATATATATAATCTATAGAATCGATCTGTTTGCCATGTTTGCGTATATATGATCTTATTAGACTCTGGCTCTCTTTCCAACAGGGTGCTCAGACTCTATTCTCTATGGAGAAGTTAAAGAATATATCATTTGAAGAGGAGTACATCAAACTGTTCCCCCCTCAGCCACATCAACCTTTTGTCTGACTCTGTTCTATCTTTCATATCTGCTACCGTAACCCTCTGCAGCCGGTCACACCCCCCCCTCCGGTTACTTGTTAGTGGCTGAACTTCTTTAGGGGCACCAGGTCACCAATCTACTGCTGGAAGTGAGTGAAGCTGTACTCTAGCAGCATGAAAGCTCTTTCTATTAGTAATACTGACACTGACATTATTTCAGTGATTAATGATAGAATAATTTATTTCAGGATTGTACATTAAATTTTTTCCAACTTTAAAAGCAATGGCCTTGTTGAATGTCCTACTAGATCTAAGATTTCTGAAAAATAAAAATAAAATATGTGTTTGAATGCATTTTGGCTTATTTTCCTTCATCAGGTACCTGTTTCTTACTAAAGTTAAATAAAGCACAGCTGCCCCAAAACCTGGAGCCCCTAAACAAGTGCTGTCACAACTTCTAGGCATCTATGTCTGCTAGCTATTAACACGATTAACCTGAATATGTTATAATTTGATGCAAAGATTAACATTTCTCAGTTTTATTGATGCAACTGCTGTATTTTATATATCCTTAGAAATGTGGTCTTATCTCTTGTGTCCTTTTAATCAAAGACTAATATTCAGCCTCTTTCTCCTTTCTTTGATGAAAGAGCTAAGAGGTTTAGGAAACACATTGCAGCATTGGTGGAGTTTCTTTAAGCTTTCAATTGCAGGACTTCAGGGTTGAATAAGCAATACAGCATGATTAATTGATCAAGGAACCTTTGGTGTGTTGCGCTTTATTTTCTCAGGCGAATCTACAGATCTGCATTTTTTAGTGTTTTTGAAAAGCAGATGTATTCTCCTCAGATCCCTTTTTTTCATAGTTTAGCAATATTAAAGTTCTGTCAACATCTTCATTTTCTTCCAGTGCCTTTGTAGAGCTATCCATACTCTTCAGAGTTGCCATTTTTATACAACCTAAAGCTTTGGTCTATCTTTTGTGTTAAACAAACATAGAAGTAATGCATTATTGTGAAGTGTAAGACATGATTTTTATTTTTTCTTCTAAGACATACATAAAAGCCATCATAAAAAAATCCAATTGGAAATATTATCTTCTGAAGCTGTTAGTCATTGGCTAAAAGAGCTCACCTGTGGTATAATCACAGTAGAAATCTAGATTTTCCAATGAAAGCCTCTGAAGTTTATTAGACCAGAGGTTCTCAAACCTTTGCTAACATAAACACTCCTACAAACATGTTAAGAAAAAGAGCTTTATTAAGCCTTAACCTTGCATGGACATTCATCTTTGAGCTGGACAAACTTAAACTTACAGTACAGCTAGAGCTACAATGCTACACTTCCAAACAAAGAAGAGAACCTAAACCTTATAAGAGTCTGAATAATTATATTCACTATATTTTCCACCAAAGCTTTCTGTATTTAAGCTGTTTTGCAAAGAATAATGGCAAAAAAAAATCAAGTTCTAGATGTTTAGACGTAAGCTGGGCTTATTTGTACTGTGCTTATTTAAGTGTTTTTTGCTGCAACATGATGTCGCTTTATGGAAAAAAGAGATTCCCCCTTCATACTGACAATACCTGTGAAGAGCAAAACAATAACGCCTATCTCATCCATTGAACAAGCTAAATCCTAACCTTTATTGCAAAGGGCACACTGGACCATAATAGTAAACAGAACAATGGAAAAACATATAAGAGGGTTAAGGGACAAAAGTAAACTTGGTGTGACTTCATGTTGCCTTCAAACTAGTTGCTTAATTTAAAGAAATTAATTTAAGAGAATGTCCATATCAATGGGTAAAAATAATGTATAAATAACAAAAAAATGAAGGAATTAAATGTTAGTATGACAAAATATTTGGAAAATGTAGGAAATTGTGTTTTGCTAAAGAGAATAAGTGGAAAAACATTAAGTCACACACCAGTGTTGGTTTACAGTTTTTAACTGTGAGATATGCAAACTATTTAGGTGCAGGTAAATGTAAAGGCATGAATTACTGGATTGGTTTTTCTGGAGCAAGAAGTGAAAACTATGCATCAATTTCCTGCACTTCACAATATACTGCCCTCTAAAATACATCTATATGGTTTTCATGTTTGGAAGTGTTGGATACTAAATGCTGCACACTGAATCTACACTGCAAAAAAATAGAAATTAACGTCAGTTTTTCTAAAAAAAAAAAAAAAAAAAGTGCATTTGACTTGAATTAAGGTGGTAAGTGAGACACTTTGCCAATGGAACTAGACCATTTACATTAAAAATAAGGAAAAAAAAACAATTGCATTGTCTTATTTTAAGTGCATATTATCTGATTATCTTATTTTAAGAGTTAAAATACACATTCCATTGGAAAATCCTCTTACCTACTTAAGTAAAGGGGAAGTACACTTATTTTAAGAAAATGTTACTTATTTCTAGATCTTTCAGCAGTGTTAAGATATCTTGTGTGCTTATGCATAGCCAGCCTTGCTTGGTTTTACTATTTTAGAAAGGTTCAGATGTAAACAGTTGTAGGTTTAATAGTTTGAGGAGCTGTTTGCAGGGTTAGCTTGATTTAGGTGGCTCTAACAATTTGATTTAATAATTATTGGATATTTATGGATTGTTTTGCTTCACAATGGATCTCCTCATCTGTTTCTTAACACTCAGAGACACTGTTTGTTTGTTTTTGGATGGTATACTGATATAAGTTTGAGGTTGTTTGTCTCTTTAAAAAGCTCAGCAATGCAAAAATAACTTTTTTCCTCGCTGCCTTCAGATGTGAGCTGCTCTGTTTGACTGAATGGCCCTCTCAAATGTCTAATGAGCACCTAACGATTTATGGCAAACTAATCAATGTTTTCTTCTCGCTTTTTTTCATCTCTATGAAAAACCTCTGCTGTAACACCACTGCTTTGCAACTCTGCCTCCTCGCTCCACAACTACGCCCCCTGCACGTTTTCTATCACTTCCACCCTCTTTGTACCCAAAGGCGGCGCAGTCATTCCTCGCCTTTCAGAGATACAAGCTAGGGGCCGACTCTGCCCTCTTCTCCCAGGACTACACCGATCCCAGCCAGGATGCAGCTGGAGCGCCCTACACGTCTTTTGGAGGGGACGACTTGGAGAGTCCAAGCAGCGGAGGGGGCCAGCCCAACAGCGATGGGGCTTTCGACGGCACTGGTGGCTACCAGCGTCAAGACTACTAAAATGTCAGGGTTCAGATATGTTCTGGGGAGATTATGTTGCCCAAAAATGACCTTTTTAGGTAATATATTTGTTGTTTCTGTCACGCTGAGAACCACTGCCTCAAACTACCCCTAATTATGATCTTTAATAACATATAATATATTAATGATATATATATTACATATAGATATATACTTAAAATACTTGACACAGTTCTGATGAATTATTTTTAATGGATTTGCAACCATCCATCACAGAGCAGTTTAAAGTTTACCTGGACATGTTAGCTCTGATATTTTAGTAATTTGCAGTAAAGTGTTAAATTGTGAGAGGAGACCACCAGTAGCAAATATGACACTCAGATCTGAGGGATATTTGGGAGAAGTTAACTTAAGGATTTAAATCTCTTCATAACAGTTAATTTTCTCCAAGTTGGAAGCTTATATCTTTATATTTGTTACCACCCCTGGTCAGGATCCCCTCAAAAAAGCGTTAAAAAGTGCACTTTTTGTTGCAGTTCAGTCAGCTCTGAGATGTTATTTTGTTTTGGATTTATACCCTCCTTACTATTCTAGTAAAAGTTTTTATTTTAATTGCAGTTAATATTTTAAGCTTTTTATTATTGCTCTGATAGAAAACATGGTGAAGATTAGTCTGGCATCGATGTTGTTCTACAATAAAGTCCCTAGTTGTTCACACTAGTGGAGAAGTTAGATTTGAATTCATATTTTTATTTTTTATCATGGTTCCTCTGTCTGAAAGTTATGTTTATATTTTTCAGGGGCCTGGTCAAAGTCGAAACTAGAATCTAATAAGGAATCTGAATAGTAAGCAAAACATTAGGGTGATGGCAGGGAGGCCTTCCAAGCCCTAGATTTACAGCTCATCATAAAAAAAAAAAAATCAGAATACCGGCGGGAAATATGCAACAATTATATCAACCGTTATAACAAGAACGCTGTTGCTACTGCTAGGACAGTTCATTGATTGTCTTGGCAGGTATAGAAATATACCTGCTGACACACCTGCCATGCATTTAAACATTAATGTATTTTTTCTTTTTTATTAATGCTTCTTTTAAAAAGTTGTTATTGTCCTTTTACCAGAAATTCTGCTGATTGCTTTCCTATCAGGAAGAAGCTTTGGGTCTGAATCTTTTACATATTGTGCATATCATCCACAGATTTTAGAGTGAATCAGTTAATTAGTCCTTCAGTTTGATTATTTATTGGCTAAATTGTGCGTTGAATAAAATGTTTCATTAGGCTAAAGCTTTAAGCAAATTGTCTCATTTGCCCAATTGCAGTTGCAGTCTTTTAATGGAGATTCTTCAGGGTAAAGGTGGAGGCAACTTTAAATTTTAAATTAAAGATGTCCGTCAGCTTTGTTTTTAGGACATTTAAATAATTTCTACAGATGCAGTTTTAAATTCAATTTAAGGAATTTAACGTTGGATCATTTAAAAAAAGAAAACCTACTAGAAAACAACTTTAGAGATTTAAACTGAAAATGCAAGTGGCTCTTGGGGGACCCCTGCTGGCTGGAGGCTCTAACAGCAATAGTTTGAATGCTTACATGACAAGTTTACCCCCTAAAAAAATGGGAATAATGAAGTAAAAACTGAGTATATTAATAATAACAATAAAAAGATTAAGGTGCATTAAACTCATTCAAAAAAAAAAAAAAAAATAGAGGTCCAATAAGTGGGCCACTGGTAATTAAAAAAAAAGAAAATTCTTACAATGGGATTTGTTTTCGCCTGAATAAATGTTCCCATAAAAGGCTCTATTTGTGTTCCTTTTTTTAATATCTCAGAGTATTTTACTGCAGCAAAACATGCATTTATTCATGTCCTTCTTAGGGACAGGGGGGACAAATAGGCGTTGAGGATACTGTAGTCCAGAGTTTTATCTTGAAGACTTACACTAGATGTGTTTATGGGTTTGGGATAGATTTGAGGACAAATTTTTATTTTATTTTTTTTTTAGAAAATGGGAGGAATTTAGGAAACTATGATCCAATTAAGTTGCATTGTTTTCATATGAGACTGGCTGCCAGTCAGCACAGTAACTGCAGCCAGTGTTAGCTTTAAACATCACTTGTCTCTGTGGGACCACCTGGATCATTTCAGGTTTAATAATTAAAGGAACAGATTGATGTTTGTGGAGATACTTATTTTAATGCAGGATACCAATATAGACAAAAATAATATCTGTCACCCAAAAACCTTTCACCTTAATTAAGCAGTGTTTCTCCGTGTGTCTGTACTGAAATGTTTTTTTGTTTTCCTGTGTATGTGAGACATATTTCTTCTCTGCTTTATTTCATTTTTGTTCAATTCTTGCCTTAGTGCTGACTGCCAAGCAGGATGCAGCCATTGAAGGCGACACATGGTGCAGCCAACAAACTACGCTACATGTTTCATTCCTGATTTATTTGTTTTGTGTTTAAAAAAAAAAAAATCTAATTTCAGGTAATCACATTTTGTGCTGCTTTTGTCATGGAGTGCACAAAATAACTGAACAAAAATAAGCTTTTGTTAACATTATGCTGCATTATCAATACAACACACTTCAGTTTGTTCAAGTGCCACAGAGAACTGTCTTAGGTTTATCTGTCATCTTTTCATTTTTAGATTCAACCATGAACCTCCTGTGTATTTATGAACATGCATTGCTCTATTTTCTTCAACGATAATGTATACTTATCGCTTTATAAATATATACATATATGTAAATTGCAAATTCATTATATTTCAGTGTTCGACGGAAAGATTCTGCTTTATTTTAGGGCATTCTACTAGTTCAGTATAAAATAAGAAAAGACAAAATAAAGAAGTTTTATGGTCTGTTGAGTGTATTTGTGATGAGCTATATAATGAGGCTTTCTATGCCTCATCTTTTATGTTGTTTTCAAGATAGGGAGATGTTTTTATTTTGGGATAACAATATGATAACTACTAAAACAAAACAAAAAGATACTAAAGTATATTTACTCATATGTACTTTATACCTCTGTGTAGTTATAGATGTGTGATGTTTCCCTGTGAAATGTGTTAAATGGAGCAAGGTAAGATTTCAGCAAAACACTGGGTTCCAATGTATGTTTTTTGATGTATCTGATTTCAGTGATGAAGATGAATAAAATACTGATAAATAGATGTTTATGTATGGCTTTTAATTTGGCTTACTTCCTATTCAGTAACTCCACAGTCCTTCAGATTTTCTCCCAGCACTTGTAATAGTTGTGAAATGTAATTTATGGGAAAGATCAACAGGAGGATGGGTCAAATGCAGAGAGTGAATTTCCCCATTGTGGGACAATTAAGGGATTTACAATACATTAACAGAGAGAAGAAGAAGAAGATTATTATGTTACTATCCAATCTGAGCAGTTTTCCTTTCCTTGCTGAGGAGAGGTCTCCCCACTGTCAATACCGTATTTATCAAAGATCTTGGTTTAATCAAAGTCATGTGCTATTTCAAGAAACAAACAACCATTCATTGGACTCAATAAATAACCCTTAGTTGAAATAACTTACTATATTCTCTTTCAAAACCAACTTTGTCAATTTTGCATTGACAAGCAGACAAGAGGCCCATGGTTATGCTCCTGCTCTTTGTTTACTAAAGTTAACTAACGGCGCTCTGAGGACCTGAAGGAACAGCTTTTTTTATTTTAAGATTTAAATTACTCCTAGGTCGACTGTTCACTAATTAGTGACTTTTAAATGTAATTGCTAACAAGAGTTGAGTAGTAACTACTTACATTTACTTAAGTAACTTTTTGAAAAACAATATACTCTAAAAGTGGTTATACTTTATTGTACCTATTATTTTTACTCATGTAGAACAACTATGTTGTTCCTCTTACTTGGGTGAAATTTCAAGCAACTTTAGCTTTTAGATATTATGTAAAAGAAAATAGTAAACAGTACATTTTGTCACCAGATGTTCTTTATCCTTTCCTGACACAATGCGTTACCTACTTAAAGGATTGACATAAGTTTATACTGAAAAAGTAGATCTAGAAAGTGGTTTTCTGCATGAATTTATTTTTTAATCTTTTTATTCAGTTGTACTTTTTCTGCATATTGCTTTAAGTCTAATTACAATATTTTAAACATTAAATCAGATGTTAAGGTCCAACAATTACTTAGTACTTTCATCCTTTACTTTTACTTAAGTAACAATATCTAAATGCATTTTTACCATTACTTTAGTCAAGCTTTGCATACTCTTCCCATCTGTGTTGTTACCATGACTTTATGTAGGGGTTTTAGAGTAAAGGGGGTAAAATATAATAGCTCACATTTTAAATTTACATGTGAAAAAGACTTATAATAAACTATTATTGCTTGCATATCATTGTCTGACTATATCAGATAAAATCTCAAGTTACAATGTAACAAAAGCTGAAAATGTTTGAGGGATATGAATGCGTTACAAGGGTTTCTATGAAATGTTATTGTTACAACAACTGTTTTAAAAATTGTATTATCCTAGTTTATGCAGTTTGATTTATATATTTTTACTATGGGCTCCCTTCTTTGCCCTATCATTAATGCTTTGGCCTTTGAGCAGAAACTTTTGAAATGACTGCAGTTCATTTCAAGTCCACGAGGGTGTAGCATTGTTTAAAGAACTACACAGTACCGACACAACCGCTTCATGTTATTTTATTTTTTCTTTTATAAATTTCATTATCATGCAGGTGTGTACAAACTTTAAATAAACAGTTTGAATACATGTTGAACAATATTTTATCCACAATAAAATTGAAAGTAGAGCCTCTTGAAAATGGCTGTTTTTTTCTTAGGCAGTGGAATCCTAATGACTAGAGTTCAGAAATGCCTACATGTCATCTCCCAACGGAGTCATTGTAAGTGTTTGCTACGATTGAAGTAGATCTACTTCTAAAGCTCTGTTTGATTTAAAGAAAAGATAAAAGATTAAAAAAAGAATTGCCTTTTTTAGTTGAATTAGTAATGTCGGACACTGCGGTTGGACCGTGAAGGCAGCAAATAGTATCCAACATGGCGGCAGAGCCGAGGACTATGATGCAAAGCGTAAGTTAAAAAACGACTGTTTGTTGGTCTCAGTGGCCTTTTATGTTCCTGATGGATGTTACTCTGACCTCCCTTCTATCTCCTGGGAGTCATTGTCGCTCAGCGGGTTTCTTTCGGTGGGAATAATAGCCTGTTAATGATGTCGGTTATAGCTATGCTTAGTTAAGCTTTGCTAACAGCAAGCTAACAAGCAATAGTTTAGAATAACTGGATATCAAACAAAACAATTGCGTCAACAGGAAGTTAGAAGTCATTGTCACATTATTTGACCCGTTTTTTAGCTAATTAGCCATTTAGACATCTGTAGAATTTCGGACTAATTAAAAAACCAAGAGAAATACAGAGTTTAGTTTTCTTACTTTCTTGCTTAAAATGATCATTGCTTTGATTGGCTGCAGTTGATTTATTTCAGTAATTGCATTCAAAAGGTGTAACTTGTACATTATATTCATTCATTGCACACAGACTGATGCATTCAAATGTTTATTTCATTTAATTTTGATGATTTGAAGTGGCAACAAATGAAAATCCAAAATTCCGTGTGTCACAAAATTGGAATATTGTGTAAGGGTTAAATTTTGAAGACACCTGGTGCCACAAACTAATCAGCTGATTAACTCAAAACACCTGCAAAGGGTTTTAAATGGTCTCTCAGTCCAGTTCTGAAGCCTACACAAACATGGGGAAGACTTCAGATTTGACAGCTGTCCAAAAGGCGACCATCGACACATTGCACAAGGAGGGAAAGACACAAAAGGTTATTGCTGAAGAGGCTGGCTGTTCTCAGAGCTCTGTGTCCAAACACATTAATAGTGAGGCAAAGGGAAGGAAAAACTGTGGTCAGAAAAAGTGTACAAGCGATAGGGATCACCGCACCCTAGTCAAGATTGTGGAAAAAAAAAAACATTCAAAAATGTGGGGGAGATTCACAAGGAGTGGACAGCTGCTGGAGTCAGTGCTTCAAGATCCACCACCAAGAGACGCTTGAAAGACATGGGTTTCAACTGCCACATTCCTCGTGTCAAGCCACTGTTGACAAAGAAACAGCGCGAAAAGCGTCTCACCTGGGCTAAAGAAAAAAAGAGCTGGACTGCTGCTGAGTGGTCCAAAGTCATGTTTTCTGACGAAAGCAAATTTTGCATTTCCTTTGGAAATCGAGGTCCCAGAGTCTGGAGGAAGACAGGAGAGGCACAGGATCCACGTTGCCTGAAGTCTAGTGTAAAGTTTCCACCATCAGTGATGGTTTGGGGTGCCATGTCATCTGCTGGTGTCAGTCCACTCTGTTTCCTGAGATCCAGGGTCAACCTAGCTGTCTACCAAGTTGCTGTCTAGCAAGTTTTAGAGCACTTCCTGCTGCTGACCTGCTCTATGGAGATGGAGATTTCAGGTTCCAACAGGACTTGGCGAGTGCACAGAGCGCAAAATCTACCCGTGCCTGGTTTACGGACCGTGGCATTTCTGTTCTAAATTGGCCAGCCAACTTCCCTGACCTTAGCCCCATAGAAAATCTGTGAGGTATTGTGTAAAGGAAGATGCAGAATGCCAGACCCAAAAACGCAGAAGAGTTGAAGGCCACTATCACAGCAACCTGGGCTCTCATAACACCTGAGCAGTGCTAGAAACTCATAGACTGCATGCCACGCCGCATTAATGCAGTAATTGAGGCAAAAGGAGCTCCAACCAAGTATTGAGTATTGTACATGCTCATATTTTTCATTTTCATACTTTTCAGTTGGCCAACATTTCTAAAAATCCCTTTTTTGTATTAGCCTTAAGTAATATTCTAATTTTGTGACACACAGAATTTTAAATTTTCATTTGTTGCCACTTCAAATCATCAAAATTAAACGAAATAAACATTTGACTGCATCAGTCTGTGTGCAATGAATAAATATAATGAACAAGTTACACCTTTTGAATGCAATTACTGAAATAAGTCAAATTTTTCAAAATATTGTAATTTACTGGCTTTTACCTGTACATTTAATTTTGATAGCTGGAAAAAATATTGCAATATATACTTATATTGCAATGTCGTGATAATATAGTATTGAGACTTAAGAATCGTGACACGTATAGTATCCCAACACCCATGCCATCCCCAATGCAACTTACATACTTTTTTATAGTTATTTTATAGTGCGGCATAGTAGAAAAGGATTGATCAAGTTAAATTACTGTAACTGAATAGATTTGAGGACAACTTACCCATTAATTATGAACATAAACTTTTCTGGATACAAACTTTTGAACAGAAGTGGATAGAAGCTGGTTAAAAAAAAAATTATTTACTACCAAAATAAACCTTTTTACATTTGACAGCTGTAATATAATGTATAAATGCTGTTAGAGAGAGCTAAGAGTGAGTTTTTTTTTTCTCATTGCAGCAGCAGAGCTGGACAGATGACGTACCTCTGTGTCAGATGTGTGGGGTTGGAGCGGCACCAAACTTTGTTTACAGCCCCGATGGTAAAGGAAGTCAGAGCCGCCCCATTGAAGATAGACATCTCAGACTGAGGTAAGACAGAACAGCAGTTTAGAAAAAAGTCTTCCTTGAAACTCTTCTCTCAGCAGCAAACAGGAAGGTTGTGACCATGTGTTTTTTCAGAAGTTGTTACAATGTTGAGTTAAAAGGAATCATAACAAAATGATGTAATCCTGATCAATGGGTTTTAAATTTCCCTTTATATTTTCACTTCTGGAAACTAGAAAGGTTAGTTATTTCTAATTGCTGATATCGTATTTAGCCGTGTTTCTGATTGATTTAATGGGAGCCACGCTGTGCTGTTGATACTAATTGAGTGGTGATTTGCACGTCAGAAAATATAAAAAGCATTGCTTAAACCTTATAAAAAGCGATACCTGCTTAGTCGTCAGCAAACAGTTTTCCTAGGCTACATTCACACTGCAACCTGAAGTGACCCAAATCCGATTTTTTTTGCCCATATGTGACCTGGATCTGAAATTTTCGTGACCGTCTGAACAACACAGATTGGATTTTTTCCAATGTGACCCAGGCCCCTTGGCTATGTGGTCCTGAATCTGATACAAATCTGCCACCTGTGTCTGATCAGCCAGGTTGGATTCATCCGACCTAAAAGCCATTAATACTCAACAAAGGTCACTATTCTGTGTCTTGCTACGCAGAAGAAACAAGGAAAACAACAACCATGGCGGACGATAATGCGGAGAGCAGTCTTTATTTTCAACCATCCTGAGAAGATTGTATTGTTACTGCACTGGCTTATGTTGGGAAAGAAATGAAACATCACAAGATGCACCCCAGCTTCTGTAAATACAGAACAATCTTGCTTGTGACATCATTGCGTCCTCTACTGTGCATACAGTAGAGGACACTTAAGTTGTTAGAAAGCAGTTCGCACAGGAGATCAAATTCCAGTCGTCTATATTTGAAAATGTGAACAACCACGCAAAAGAATCCGATTTCTAAATTAAAATCAAAATTGAGCATTAATGCCCGCAATGTGTATGTAGCCTTAGATGTAGCTCGTTTTTTAGTTTATTCCTCTTTTTTGTCGGGGGGTTTCAAGCTTCTTTTATAAAGAGTTTGCAGTACAGTACTTTGTGTGCTGGTACAGCACACAAAGTGAAATGACATCAGCTGTTACTAGGGACTCGCTTTAGTCATCTTGTAAAGACAAACCTCCTTCAGCAGTTCACATCACATGACTCCATCCGGCAACATATCGATAAACTATGTGTGCTTTCAAAACAGTCCGACTGGATCAATAACATCTGGATTAGCTCCATGTCGCCACCTTCTCGCTGAGTGTCCAGATGCATTTTTTGCTTCAAACCCAAAAAAGTACTTGTTTTTTCAGTTTTTTTTTTATACCTACTTGCATATGGAATCAAATGGATGCCGAGGCCCATCTCCAGCAGGTAACTTGTTTAATAGAGAGCCACACAGGACAAAGAAAGCGAGGTTCACATGCGGATGGAGAATGTAGGCGTCACACAGCAGCACACTGTTTAAGTATTGATGAATGTGACCATTAAAATAAAGCTTTATTGTAAAAAAAAAAAGAAAGTAATATTGGATGCATCTGTTCTAATTCCTAAAGCAAACGGTATTGTGGACACATTGTTAACAAGGAAGGAAGGTGAGAAAAAAAGCACAACTTTAACAGGAGCTGTTTGCAGTGCAATCAGTGACTGCTGCTGCTGCTGCTGCAGATATGTGTCTGTGGATTTGTACTAGGAGCCCTGCAATGGCGTAAAAGTCTGATTAAATACAGCGTCAATGCAGACACCTTAGAAACTAGCGGATATGTATCCGATTTAGCAGCACATATGAAAGTGAAACCAATCAGATTCTTTGGAGGGTGAAAAGTTTGAAATTGGGCCCTTCAGACTGCCACAAAAGAAGTCTGATATGACTGGCTTAAGGAGAATAAGGTCACATTTTGATGCCATTTGCCTGCAGTGTGAATGTAGCCTAAGTGTGTTGGATCATGGCTGTTTTGCCCATGTGTCTAGGTTCCAAAGTGAATTTAGGACATTAATGCTTTTAATTTTTATTCTCTCCTGGCTTCTTTAAATTAAAACCAGGATCTCTTTTAAAGACCTTAAAGAATAATATTGCTTTATATGATTTTCCTAAAAGTTATCATACTTGTAATTTTTCACATGTTCAATTTGTACAATAGTTGGTTTCTGCTTGCAGTATCCAGCTGTTTGATTGTACTCAGGTAGTTGTACAATGTTTTTTAGAAGTTATTTAAATAACGTCTCATGTGACCCTTATGAATGTGGAGTCTCGGGCTGAAACAATTAATCAGATTAATAATGATTAATCGGTTATTGAAATAATCATCAACTAATTTAGTCATTAAATAATTGTTAACTGGAGTATAGACTCTTAAACATGCATTTAGCTGACATAGCAACCCAATTAGAGTAGTAATTATATCATAATTCGAAAAAGAAATATGTAAACATTTTACATTTAAGATAAAAAAAAAAAAAAAATTCGTCTGTCAATATGCTCTATCCAGAACTCCTGAGGCAGAAAAGTTTTAGTTTCATCTGGTTTAATTTCCTAAAAGGTCTTCTGTAAGGAACCTATCTAATTATTAATCGATTATTAAAAAAATAACCGACAGATTAATCGATTTGCAATATAATCGTTAGTTGCAGCTCTAGTGGAGTCTACTGTAAGCTGCAGTTAAAACTGGGTAAGCAATGTTTAAAACAGCTGGACTTGCATGTATCTATAGAAATCAGTTTAAGTTAACACAGTTAGGTTTAATTATATGATGCTATTAAGTAAGGATGATAATATTTAAGAGCTGTTAATGTATGTTTGATCTTTAATTTAAATCCTGGGGGTCATAAAAATGTAACTGACTGAAATTTGCAGAAACCCTGGAAACAGGCGCCTTGCACTGACATACATTTCTTTTTTTTCTTTTTTTCCTTCCCAATCAGAGGTGAAGATGGCTGTTTCCTTTATGGGGTTTTTAACGGTTATGATGGCAGCAAAGTGGCGGACTTCGCAGCCCAGTGTCTGACTGCTGAGCTCCTGCTGGGGCAGCTCAACTCCAGTCACTCAGACAACGACGTCCGACGGATCCTCATTCAGGTCGGTAGAGCTGAACTGCTGCCAGTAGTGCAAACTTTCTTCTACCACGTCTTTACTGTTGGTTACGCCTTTTATTAAATTGTTGCTTTATATGGAGAGTTTGAAATAGCTTTGATTTATAATAACACTTGAAATAAACAGACAAAACTTTTTATTTCAGGCATGGAAGGAAAGGTGATGAGTTATAAGAGGAAAATGTATAAAACTCAAACATTTACTGCTTTTTATTCAGTAGATTTATAGTTTTTTTTTTTTTTTTTGTAGCTTGTTCTTGTTCCTGGCATGTTTTATAGAGCCGGTGACTTAATTATGATGTGTCTGCTCTTTTCTACAGGCCTTTGATGTGGTGGAGAAGAGTTACTTTAATACAATAGATGATGCTTTGGCTAAGAAAGCTCATCTGTCCAACTACCTCATGCCGCACAATGAGGTAAGCACACCCAGAATGAGCTGCTGTTCATATAGGAGATGCAGGTCATGGCATTAGATTCACAATGATTTTTTCTAAGTTGGCTTTTATCTCCTTCTTTTCATTTAATGTATATCTTATGTTCTTTTTGCTTGATTACCTCCCTGTGTTCATTAGCTTAGATTTTCTCTCCTTAAGTGTCTCTGGTTTTTACCACTTTCTTTGTCATCTTCACCCTGACTTATTAATATTTCTCTGATTGCTCTCTGGTTGTTCAGAAAGTGTCCTTCCATCATTTCTCTCCTCAGAGCCAGAAGGTCCAGGAGCGCCTGAAGGAGTTGGAGCAGGAGGTGTCAGGAGGCGCTACAGCTGTGGTGGCACTGATTCTCAACAATAAGCTCTACGTCGCCAATGTCGGTATGGATGCGTGCTGTTCTACATGTTTAAGCAGATTTTCCTATTTTTATTTGATATTTCACAGCAGCATCTGCATAGCAATAAAAACAGGGTGATACATATACCTACAACCAGCAGATGTCAGGCTCAACACAGATTTGCATGAAGTGTTTGAAATGAAAAAAAAACAAAACACATAAATATGAGAATAAAACCTTGGTTGCTGTTTTTAATTTTAGAATTGGAATTTAAAATCTGTGTTCAAACTGATTAGAGTCAGATTGTAGCATCATATGTTAGAATAGCAAGGTTTCTTTGTGTGGTTATTTGAGAAACAGGGACACACAGCAAGTTCAAATCTTTTGTTCAGTGTAGGAGAAGAGAATTTATTCTCATCTACATTGAGGACATCATGTTAAACTATTTCAGTTTTTTCAACTGAAAAGGTTTTGGAAATGGGAAGTAGATTTTTGTGTGTGTTTGCATGTGACGTGTAACTCTCTTGGTGGTGCTGCAAAGCCCATTGCTGCTGCTCTTAATGTAATAGATCTCATAATGCGGTTGCAAAAGATGATTTGCACAACTAACCAAAACTCTGTTATTCCACCGTAAGTGGAAGTAGAGCGACTCTCAACTCCGCATTCAGTCAGTCAGTAAGACTGGTTCCTCGGGCTGTTCCGTTTTTGCCCCCTTTTCTGCCCTCTTTTTTCCATATCAATCTAGAGCAGAGCGGATCATTCAGGCAGCAAGTCACCTGTTGATAAACAAAGTCTGTGCTGACTGTGGATCCAATTTTTTGGACATTTTTGTCATTACTAACTCTCTTTATACAGTAAATCGGGAGCCGTAATAAATATAAGCACTAAATAAAAAACAAATTAACTGAACTCAACTCACTCACTGTAGGTCTAAAGAAAACAAGCTAAGATGATAGCACATAAATGTTGGTAGTACTGGCAAAATAAACAGTGTAGGTTTATTGATCTATCAATTAAGGATCCCAGCTGCAGAGGAATGGTCACACCTCCAAATTGCACAGAGACTGATTGCTGGGATATAGAGGAAAACTGATTAAAAGGCTGAAGTTGTTACTCTAAATGAAGTGGTTACAAAGAAACATCCTGTTATGTAATCAATGACAAGGAGAAGGGAGCAATCTAATAAAGATACTAGGGATGGTATCACTAAGGATTTGGATGATCAAACGGCCCACCGTACCTTCTACAGTGGTTCTAGGTGGTGCTGCAGGATCTTGTGGACACAATTCTTTTCCTACCGTATTTTCACGACTATAAGGCGCACATAAACGTCTTTTTTCCCCTCAAAATGTGCGGTGCGCCCTTTGGTGCGGTGCGCCCTATGTGTGTTGCAACTGCGACTTTTGAGACCACCTCATTGAGGAGATGATGAAAGAGTGGCTGAGGGAGGTGAATGCAAGGAGACCAGGTGGTTTTTTTTCCACTCATCACCACACCATCGCTGTTAATCTGACTCCATGCGTGCCCATCTCACAGCTGATGTGAAAAACATGGTGAAACAAATTAATGCTGTGCTCGCTGTGACCGGACGCAGCAGGTGCAGCAGAAGCAGCGAGTTTACATGCAAAGTCAACGGTTGACGAGCGTATAGACGCAGCAAAAGGTCCCGCAGCGCGTTTTGAGCAGCAGGCGCAGCGCGTCGGGAGCGTTTAAGCATCTGACGCACCGCCAACGCGCTGCTGCTGCTCGAGATGGAAAAATTGAAGTTTTGCTGCTGGAAGCGCCACATCAACCAATCAGATAAGCTGATCTGGGAGCTGACAGCGAGACAGACACAGCGCTCTGATGACATTAACGCAAATGAAAAAGGCTGGATGGATGAGGAGATGATGAAAGCGTGGCTGAGGCAGGTGTATGTGAGGAGACCAGGTGGTTTTTTCCACGCATCACCATCGCTTTTAATATGTGACTCCATGCGTGCCCATCTCACAGTTGATGTGAAAAACATGGTGAAAAAAAATAAACGCTGTGCTCGCCGTTATCCCGGGGGTCTGACAAAGGAACTTCCACCGCTCGACATCGGTGTGAAGCGGCCGTTCAAAGTAAGGCTGCGAGCGGCGTGGGAGCGATGGATGACAGACGGAGATCAGAGTTTCAGGATAAGTGGAAGGCAGCGCCGGGCAAGTTACGCCACCGTTTGCAGATGGATTGTTGATGCTGGGACTAACGTGTCTGCTGGCACTGTTGTTCAAGCTTTTGCAAAAGCCGGCATTATTTCTGAGGAGCCGCCCGGCACGGAAAGTGACTCTGACAGCGAAGAAGGGGAAATTGGCATGTCTGATTTAGTGCAGCTGTTTAATTCAGAAACAGAGGATGATGACTTTGATGGGTTTGATTAATACTTTGTAATAAATACATGAATAAAGCACAAACATACTCAGTTTTGCTCCCGCTCTATTTTTCTACCTGAAAACTTAATTCAACAGCAGCATCTGGGCAGGGTTCACCGCGGCGGCTGGCAGGTGTTTTTCATCTAAATAATCTAAATCTTGCAGCTATATTTGCTGTGATCAGTGGGAATAAAGTAGTTTTAATATGTTTTTAAGTGAGAAAGTCCACCTGAAAACTTAATCATTGTAGTCAGTTCATCCAGATTATCATCCTGCCTATAGGCTACTATTTCTGTCGGAGGCGCTCAGACCCCCACATACCAGCGGTACACCGACAGTAGAAATCCCTTCATCAGCAGCCTCTAGTCTGGGCAGCCTCCGGGTTCACCGCGGCGGCTGGCAGGTGTTTTTCATCTAAATAATTTAAACTGCAGGCACCAGGATACCGGTAATAAAAGCGAACATATTCTGTCGGCAGGTTTCAGGATTTTAAGTTAATTTAGGAGTGATCACAGTGCTCTGTCATCTGTGATGTGTCTGTCTCACGGCCAGCTCCCAGGTTTGATTAATACTTTGTAATAAATACAAGAATAAAGCACAGTCATACTGAGTTTTGAGCCCGTTGTATTTTTAAATACGCAGTAGAGGTATTTAAAGGTAGTAGAGGACATGTACCGTATTTTCACGACTATAAGGCGCACTTAAACGTCTTTTTTTTCCCTCAAAATGTGCGATGCGCCCTATGTGTGTTGTAACTGCGACTTTTGAGACCACCTCATTGAGGAGATGATGAAAGAGTGGCTGAATGTAAGGAGACCAGGTGTTTTTTTTTCCACTCATCACCATCGCTGTTAATATGTAACTCCATGCGTGCCCATCTCACAGCTGATGTGAAAAACATGGGGAAACAAATTAACGCTGTGCTCGCAGTTCAACCGCTCGACATCGGTGTGAACCGGACCCAGCAGGTGCAGCAGAAGCAGCGAGTTTACATGCAAACTCAATGGTTGACGCGCGTATAGGCGCAGCAAAAGGTCCCGCAGCGCGTTTTGAGCTGCAGGTGCAGCACGTCGGGAGCGTTTAAGTATCTGACGCACCGCCAACGCGCTGCTGCTGCTCGAGATGGAAAAATTGAAGTTTTGCTGCTGGACGCGCCGCATCAACCAATCAGAGAAGCTGATCTGGGAGCTGACAGCGAGACAGACACAGCGCTCTGATGACATGATATTAACGCAAATGAAAAAGGCTGGATGGATGAGAAGATGATGAAAGGCAGGTGTATGTGAGGAGACCAGGTGCTTTTTTCCACGCATCACCATCGCTGCGTGCCCATCTCACAGCCGATGTGAAAAAAAGGTGAATCAAATGAACGCTGTGCTCGCCGTTATCCCGGGGGTCTGACAAAGGAACTTCAACCGCTCGACATCGGTGTGAAGCGGCCGTTCAAAGTAAGGCTGCGAGCGGCGTGGGAGCGATGGATGACAGACGGAGACCACAGTTTCAGGATAAGTGGAAGGCAGCGCCGGGCAAGTTACGCCACCGTTTGCGGATGGATTGTTGATGCTTGGACTAATGTGTCTGCTGGCACTGTTGTTCAAGCTTTCGCAAAAGCCGGCATTATTTCTGAGGAGCTGCGCTGCACGGAAAGTGACTGACAGCGAAGAATTGGAAACTGGCATGTCTGATTTAGCGCAGCTGTTTAATTCAGAAACAGAGGATGATGACTTTGATGGGTTTGATTAATACTTTGTAATAAATACATGAATAAAGCACAAACATACTCAGTTTTGCTCCCGCTCTATTTTTCTACCTGAAAACTTAATTCAACAGCAGCCTCTGGGCCCGGTCTCCTCTGCGTATACCGCGGTGGCTGGCAGGTGTTTTTTCATCTAAATAATCTAAATCTTGCAGCTATATTTGCTGTGATCAGGGGGAATAAAGTAGTTTTAATATGTTTTTAAGTGAGAAAGGCCACCTGAAAACTTAATTGCAGTCAGTTCATCCAGATTATCTATTTCTGTCGGAGGCGCTCAGACCCCCACATACCAGCGGTGCACCGACAGCAGAAATCCCTTCAACAGCAGCCTCACCGCGGCGGCTGGCAGGTGTTTTTCATCTAAATAATTTACAGTGCAGGCACCAGGATACCGGCAATAAAAGCGAACATATTCCGTCGACAGGTTTCAGGATTTTAAGTTAATTGAGGAGTGATCACAGCGCTGTGTCATCAGCGATGTGTCTGTCTCACGGCCAGCTCGCAGGTTTGATTAATACTTTGTAATAAATACATGAATAAAGCACAATCATACTCAGTTTTGGGCCCGCTGTATTTTTAAAATATGCAGTAGAGGTATTTAAAGGTAGTAGAGGACATGTACCTGTATATAAAAAACGCGCCCTATAGTCCGGTGCGCCTTATGTGTGTGTTAAATACAGAAATGGGACACATAACTGAGACTGCGCCTTTTAGTACGGTGCGCCTTATGGTCGTGAAAATACGGTAATTTCGGGGTCATTTTTGTTCTTCAGGTGGCCTAAGTTAGCATCTAAAGAATTTTTTTTTTTTTTTTTTCCCCCAAGCTGGAAGTTTCCTATGGTTAGAGTATGAGGACATTGTTGCAAGCACATGCTTGATTGCACAAGTGTGGGAGAAATTACTAATGCATACCAAAAATGCAGAACAGAAAATTTTTATGTCAGCTATTAATCACACATAACCTCAGAGACATGGCTGGTTTTCTAGGTGTGGTTAGAACCGCAGGTTTTCAATTTGTCAAAGATGATATGATAAAGGCCAGTATGTTTAACATTTGCATTAATATCAAAGTATGATGGACATAGACTTAAGTCTTTCATGTGTTTTTTTTTTTTTTTTTTTTAGTTTTTCTAATCCATGAATCTTTGAATCTTAATTCTAAAAAATGTAAGCTCTTTTTCTTTCATTTTGGCTCAAGTTAGGAATAAATGCATACAAAAGTAATTTCCCAATTCACTAATGTAGCAAAAATCTATAAATAAACCTACCTGCTCATGTTAAGGAATTATTCATTATTGATGGGAAATGGGAATTGCTTATTGCATGGAGGGGGGGTTCGGATCTTGAGCTGAAGGCTTGAGTTGGTACGTAAGTGTGCTTTTAAGATTAGTTCCAGCTGTTTGTTGGTGTTGAATGTGTATTAGAGCTCGGTACATATGGAGTGAATAGATGAGGTACATTAACATTAAACTGCATACCAAACATTTTTTGCTCGCATCAACATAAAAACTCGCTTGGCAAATGAGTTTTGCTGTGGATAAGGAATCAGTTTAAAGCTTGATCCTGATTGACGTCAAGCAAATTGGCTGCACTGAATGGCCTTGTTCAGCTGATTAGAACACAAACACACAGCTTCAGGCAGTTTAGGAACATGAAACCTGACGGTTGGTTTTACAACTACATGAAAAATTCTGCTTAGGGACCCAAAAATCTAATTCTCAATAATTAATCATTGATTGGTCTTGTATTTCCAAGCCTGAATATTTCTTTTTTTTTTTCTTTTGCTTGACTTTTAAAATCTTCAGATTGTTTTTAGGCAAATTGAATGATGCTGCAAAACTGTCTTTATTTATAGCACATGTAAATTTAAACCTATAAGTGTATTTGTAGTAAAGATAGGAGTGCTTTTATAATGTTTTACGGTTTTCAGCAGAGCCCAATCTCATTAATCACTTCTGTTTAAACATCTTGGCTTTAAGCTTCCTGAGCTTTAATTCAATCATTTTGAGCTAGTGAAAACAGGCATGTTTGATGCAGTAGGACAACAATTGGAGGAATAAGGACAATAAATGGTCCAGATACAATTTGGCTTGTTTTAGCCAATAATGCTTTAAAACCTGGAAATGTGGTTTAAAACATGAAAAACCATTCAGCAAAAGAAAAAAAGAATCGGACAACAGCAGTGTAGTAACCTATTGCTAGTTATCATAGATGTGTGATGTTGAGGTTTAGGAAGCGACTGCTTTTTTCCCCAAGGGCCTGTTTGGTTTGGATCGCCCTTTTCCAAGATAAATGAAATCATAATTAATGTTACAAGGCTGTGTTTAGTGGTGTTTAGACAAGGGCTGGGAAATTAATTGCATTTTAAATAACACCATTTATAGAAAAATGCAATTTTCAAATTGCAGAGGCTCACTAGTTTACTCACATTACATGAATTAAGACTAAGACACTAAATGTCTAACTCCAGTCCTTTATGTGGCAGTAATTAAGGTAAGGCTGGCGCCACACTGAACAGAAGAGAGAGTTGCAGCTAGAATGCAGATCCATGCAGGATAGTAGAGGCAAGAACGTTTTCTCTGAAAGGTTACAGTAAAGTGCTGCATCAATGGATTCTGGAAAAGCAAGCTTTAAAGGTCATAAATAAATATAAAAAAATAAATTGTTCAGCCCTAGTTTACACATATCATAGTTTAATGTGAAAAATAGTTTAGTTTTGACCAGTTTAATGCCCTGGAATAATGAGGTTATACACGGTAGCGGATGGCTTCCTCAAACAAAGGAACAGATTAATGCATAAGCAAAGATCTCTGTGTCAACATTTATATTGTGATATTTTTTTAATTCGTGTTTGTTGTTTCAGGTACAAACAGAGTTCTGCTTTGTAAGTCCAGCAGCGACGGCCAAAACCAGGTTCTTCAGATCGGGCGGCCACATAGTACCGACAACGAGGATGAGCTACAAAGACTTGCTGCCCTCGGTAAGATGCTTCGATACATTCACATCCATTCAGATATCCGACACTAATGTCACCAGAAATCCTTTCTTTGTTTGTACTCTACAACATAACAGATGTTACGGCCTCATTCACGGACTTCGATCCGCTTTCCTCTATTATCTGTTGTAAATGATCTCCTCTTATTTTAAAATGTACAGGATCCACTTATTCTCATTTAGTCTGACTCCATGTCATCTCTCTGTTTTCAGAAATGTACACCTTTCACTCTCAACCATCAGAAATATACTCAATCTTTATTTCTAATGGATGATGGATTAAAATTCTCCATCATGTAGAATTGCTGCATCGACTTTAATGGCTTCTATATGCAGCAAAGAGCAAATAATGAGAATGATGGAGTCTGTATGAATAGTGGTTTATGTTTACACTGAAAGCTAAATTATAAACATTGATATGGTTCTTCCTAAATGTACTAAGATGATACTAGGAACAAAATTTGGTTATTTAGTTAATAAACATAAGAAGTTAAGGAAATCTTAAGTCTATTTTTATATTACACCACATATGCTATATGCTGCCCAATAAAGGTTGATAATGTTATTTATTAATCCAAAATAGCAGAGGCATTTCTGCTGGATGATGGAGTTTGCTAATTATACTGCCACTTGTGGCCAAAACACAGAACTGCAGTGCACTATTACTATTAGATATACATTATGAAGTGTAATTTAAAGAGTTTGTCCCTAGTGATCACTTCTCAGGAAAATAATTGGAGAAAGAAAGCTTCAAGGTGTAAAATCAGAGCTTTGTTTTACACTATGTATAAAGCATATATTCCTGGAAAGATTACGTTTATTTTGTTCTTAAAAACTTAACGTAAAGCTTCCTATAATGGCAGTTGAAAAGGTTTTTTTTTTTTTTTTTAGGTTTTTTACAAATAAATGAAAAAATAACTTTGTGTTCACAGCTTTTGCCCATCTTTACTGATTATCCTTTTATGCTTCTACGCTTAATGGGAGTCCTCCTGTGGAACATTTAGCTGACAGGAAAGGATTAGAAAAGGCACTAGTTTACATAAAGGCCAACAGTCAACAGTGCATGACAGAGCAAAGAAGGAGCATGAAGTCAAATAATTGCCTTGAGACTTCTAAGACAGGATAATCTTAAAGCACCCATCTAGTGAAGGGTAAATATAGTATTCTGGCGCTTTGAAGTTCTCAGTCAGCATAGTGACCTTATCCTTAAACGGAAGATGTTTGTACCCATCAGGAATGTCCCTGGAGCTGCCTGCCCATCTAAGCTGAGCCACTGGTGTAGAAAGACCTTAGTAAAGGAGGAGGCCACTTTTTCAGTGACCCACCATTACGCTGTGGAGAAAAGACCCCTATCTGAAAGACAACTAACTATGCACCAAACCACCACTCAAGTCTATAGGTTAGAGTTGCCAAACGGAGCCCAGTCTTTACTCCCAGGAAGATGGGAGTCCACTGGGTTATGCCAAAAGGCACCCATGCCATGAGAAGAAGAAATATTTTGCTACCATTTCTACATTAAAGCATGATGGTGGTAGTGTAATGCTGCAAGGAACTTGAGTACTACCCAGAATTAAGAGGATGTATAATTGCAGCAAAGCACAAAAACATTCTGAAAGGTCATCCTGACCTAAGAGGTGATGGCTCATCTTTGACGGAATGGAGATCCCCATACAAACAACCAAGAAATCAAAAATAAAATAATTCTATGGCTGAATATCCTTAAGTTTTTCCATCCAGAATGAAGTTTTGAGTCCCAGCCAGAATTTCTGAAGAGATCTTAAGATTTCTGTGCACCAATGTCTCCCACCCAACCTTGGTCCAATAATAACAAAACCTAATATCGGATGATATCGACCTACATCTGAAGTGGAACACTGATAGAAACTCTTTTCTTCTTTTGTAGTTTCTGTAACCCATGGTAAATATTACACCTGTCATTACGTGGTTACATGGGTTCTTCTCATACCTATTTATGTTGACTGTTGTCTGTTTAGTAATATCAGTGGATTGAGCTATTTCCTAACATTTTACTGAACAAAATAAATCATAATAGCGTGTATCATTCCTGCTGATATCGTATCGGGTCAATGTCGTTATTGTATCAGAAATTTACAAAGTTGTTGCGGTACACCCCGACAAAGAAAAAGAGATGGTCTTAATAAATATAAAAGCCTCAATAATCATCTATTTGAATAAAAAAAAAAATCATTTATTAAATATTTTAAATGCATGTTAAATGGCTAAACTTGACAAAAAATAATTTCATTGATCAGAAATGCCACTTGAGTCCTTAATTTAGCACATTAGCAAAACAATCTTTAGACTTTATGCAAGGTTTAGGCCTCATTGAAGCTCTTAGTGTGTTGGTTTTAAATTCTATATACTCAAAGTTAAAAATGTTTTGATTACTAAAGTAGTTGACAACTTTTTCAGTTGTGAAATAGTCATGAATAATGTGATTGTTTCAGACCCAGATTATTTGGTGCTACTCATGCAGCTGTCTGTAGACTCCCAGCTAATGGTCCAGTAATGGAGGCTTTGGATGGACAGGGAAATACTGTCATGGAAGCAGATTTTGAAAAGGTCTAATTGCAGATTGGAGTGCAGTAATATTCAGCCATTTCCCACCACACCATTAAAGAAAATGGATTTCTCTCTTCATATTTCCTTTCCCCCGATTTACTTCTCTCAGTTTAGAACCATAAATGTTCTGCTACTCGGGTCCTTTTCTGGATGATTGAAAATAAACACCTTTCTTTTAATCTACCTGCAAACCCTCTTCCCCTCTCCTTACAGAAAGGAATCCTTCACAGTTTGTTCTCGTGCAATCCGTCTTGTGTGTTTGCTTAATGTCTGCTCCACTGTGTGTACGGTGTCTCTCCTGTTTTGTAGGTGTGGATGCAGCTCGGATACGACAAGCGGGACAAATAACTGGACAGACCAGCACCAGGAGGCTGGGAGACTACAAAGTAAAGATAAACTACAATGAAATAGATCTGCTAAGGTGATGCCTGTGTATAATGTTGACAATATTATTGCAGTTTAGCGATTAATTTTGGTTTTGACTGCATGTCTTTTTTTTTTTCCTATGGTATCTTGTACTATGACCATTAATGCAAAGTAGGGCTGGACTATACACCTGTTAGCGTCATTCACTAAGATAATCGGCACAAATTTCCCCATGTCAGTAAATTGGGTAAATAAGTTGGTAAATAGCTCTACTGTTTTGCCTGTTTGCCCTGTTGGCTGGTACTTCCTTCCCCATTAAGATACTGAAGCATGTGGGAAATCCCGTGAGTCCACCGATCCAGTCAGAAGCGTAAACAAAAGCCCCATTTACACTACCCTCTGAAAACTGATCCGTGCCGAGCTTGTTTCCCTACGACCATTTGCACATCATGCTAGCACGGTTCCTGACCTCCTAGTGACGATCTGCAGTACCACTGAAAATGCATGAATATGGAGGCTGATTGTAAGGAGATAGTGCGGTCTGCTCATGCGTTGGTTATCTGAGAGCCTCAACTGAACCGTGCCGAGCCCTACTGATAAACTAGTACCATTTTAGTGCAGTTCAGTTATGTCTGGCACGGTCCGGTTCGGTTTGCCTGCCAACAGTTATCTGGGTTAGCATGCTCAGACTGATCTCTGAGAAGTTTTAAAAGGGCATGGGCCTCCATAACACCTCAGCAGTGACACAGGCTGATTGCCTCCATGCCATGCCGCATTGAAGCAGTCATTTCTGCAAAAGGATCCCCAACCAAGTATGGAGTGCATAACTGTACATAATTATTTGAATTGGTTGACTTTTTTTGTATTAAGAACACTTTTCTTTTATTGGCCGGATGAAATATGCTAATGTTGTGAGATAGGAATTTTGGGTTTTCATGAGCTGTATGCCAAAATCATCCATATCAAGACAATAAAAGACCTGAAATATTTCAGCTAGTGTGCAATGAATCTAAAATAAGAATGTTCAACGTTAATAATTACATTATGTGTAACACTAGTTTAGTTATTTAAAGACCAGAAGGCATTATATCAGAAGTCTAAATTCTCTGCAGGAGCTGTTGTCAGTATTTATTAAAAACCAATACAAAGGAATAATTGATTTCAATAACATTTATTTTTGTAGATGGAAAAAACGTAAAATAAACCCCAAAGAACATAAACCATACAAAGAACCCCAAAAAATATACAAATACAATAAATATATACAGTACTGCAGTATTTCTTATTAATGTGTATAAAAGTCCTACATTTCCCCACTGGTCAGCACGACGTCTGACTGACACGCATTTAAGTCCATAGTTTGATTGTCCAGTTATTTGAGATGAAAATGTCCAAGCAAATGGTGTGCAACGGAGAAGAGATGAATCATGAATTGTCTGTCAGTATGATGAGATGGAAAGGGAAATGCTACAGACCATCAGCCTCCTACCAGACCAGTAGGAGTTAAGTTTCTCCTGGGCCCAACCAGTTGTCAGTAGCTCTCCATCCTTTAACCCAAAAAAAGGGATCACCTGGCCTGTATTGTAATGAACAGGACCAATAAATGATCCGCCTGCTAGTTAACTAGACTTTTCCTACATTCAGAAATAAATGCAATTACATCCACATTTCTTTCAGACAAAATAAAGATATCAGCATTTATCATCATCTTAAACACCTTTGAATTTAGGATGTTAAACTATGTGACAATTCATAAAACATTTAGCATTGCCTAATAGAGACTGACATGGGAGTGGATTTTCACTCCTGTCCCGTCCCACTCCCACAGAAAAGAATGGTGTCCCGACTCCCATTCCACGGGAATCCCGTGACCCGTGGGATTCCCGAAAAAATTTCAGTCTCTATTGCCTAACACTACCAACATGCTAAACAAACAAACAAACAAATTGTATTCACTACTTACCAATTCCATTTTAGGTTCAGTGAATGACAACTTCATGGCTCCAAACTCACTGGATATGAAGATCTAGTGCACAATAACAAAGAGATAAATTATTTGTTAGAAAGCACAAACCTGTAGCTCCTTTGTCTCCAGCTCTCCCCTTCACACCTGACTGGGAAAGCTGGAGCAGGCTTGATTTACCACTTCAGATGCATTGATTGGCTGAATGCACCATTTGACTAATTGTCTAACCAATGGAGCAACAAGGTGGGTTTTAAGGGCAGTTTTTCCCTACTTTTGGAAAATAATGAACTTTATCGCAAAGTGGGCATGGTCGTGCACAACGACAGATTTGATGGTTGCAGAGGCTACGTCAGAAGCATAAATTGGCCTTTTTAATGATCACCATTACCATGCATCAATAAAAGCCCGAAATGAATGATTCATGTCTATGATGAGTGTATGTAAAGTTCCTAATTATTATGAATGTAGTTGGGATCCAGGCTTTAACCACCCTCAGACACAGAATAGAATCTGTACAGAATTGTCTCCTTCATGCTAGCGTGATCTAATGTAGTTCAGTGTGTAACGGATTCTTCAGATCAATACCATAAACTAAAAGATAAACTATCATCTGTGTTCTTCCACACCATTAAAATTGTGTCTTTTCCTTTAACTTGTTTCTTTTTTACTTGTTTTTTTGCAGTTTTCCTTCTATTTTTTCTCCCATATTTTGCAAACATCGCTCTATAATATTGTTTATTTTTGGTCTACTAGTGCGGCCAAGGCGAAGCCCATCATCGCTGAGCCAGAGATCCATGGCAGCCACCCTTTGGACGGTGTGACAGGATTCTTGCTGTTGATGTCAGAGGGCCTAATAAATGCCCTTGAGTCTGCCCACGGTCCAGAACAGGTCAATCAGGTTAGCAAACAAATGTTCATACTTCACCTAAAATGGTTTTTTCTGTTTCTACCTTGTCGTTCCAGTTTATTTCCCTTTGCTTGGTTAGCCCTTTCGCTCTCATATCTTTCCCTTTGTCTTCTTTATTCTTATTTTGAATCATCTCCCTCTTCTTTAATAGGAAATTGTGGCCATGGTAGCAGCAGAACTGGCCCAGCAGACCAATTTGGAGACAGTGGCTCAGTCTGTGGTGGATCGGGTCAAGAGGCTTCACCACGACGTCTTCGTGTCCGGGCGCCAGAGGGCGACCTACTGCTCTCAACACGAGGACATGACCCTGCTCATTCGCACCATCAATTACCCGCTGGCGGATTCAGCGCTTACTCCCACGCAAGGTAGAAAGTTTGATTCTCTCTTGTCTCACATAAACATTTGTTCTGTAATATCTCCACCACTAGGATGTTTTCAGAAAACCTTTCTTGCTTTAAAACGTCTTGAATGGAGACACTGCTGCAATATATTACATTATAAGTTAGTGATTTCTTTATAAAGTGCTTTGTGAACACTGCTTTAAGAGCTTTTTTATCTTCACCTTTTGAACGTAACCAGTGACAATTATATTATATTTCCATCATATTTATCTAGAGCTGCCAAATATATTGACCTTTGTTGAAATGTGGATGTGTGCAGTATAACTAAGATAAAGGCATGCACTGATGATATTATTTGCATGTATTCTATTTCAGTGCAAAGGTCAGTGCATGCAAATTCTACATGCTAATCATATGTTTGGCCTGTGTTATTGTAGTTTAGGTGCTAAAACATAAGGAGGACAGATTGAAGTGAAGGAAGTGTGTTTGGATTATTTGTCCATTATGTTATTGATTCACAATCACATCCTAATTAGGGGTGTAAATAATAATTGTTTTGTATCGATGCATCGATTCAACAGCCGACGATCCGATGCATCGATACGTCCGCAAAAGTATCGATGCATCGATTCAACAGCCGACGATCCGATGCATCGATACGTCCGCAAAAGTATCGATGCATGTTTTTTGTTTCCTCCGGTCTATTTTTATAGACGTAATTCTCCCTCCCGTGCTGCGGTGGCGCTAAACCTATTTTGCCCTCCTACCTCGCTTCCTGGTTATACTCTTACAGCAGTTTGTTGCAGTAAGCTTGACACAGACATTTTTAAATTAGGCTCAATATTGAAGCGTGGTCTGCGCTACACACTGCGGGTCTAGATACGGCCGAGGCGGTGAGGAAGTGGGGGCGAGTTTAGTCCGACGACGGAGGGACATGAAGGCCAAAAGGAGCGGAGATCCAAGTGGAAAAAGGGTCCCAGCGTTCTCGCGCACACCTCGCTATTCTAGCGGGTCAGACTTCACGAGTTGTTTTCCACAATTTCGGTCATAAAAACCAAACAAGCCGGCCTCCTGTCTGCGGCACTGTTTGCGGTGAGCTACAATTTGGGAGAGGTGCAGCGGAGCATCTGCGGAGGGGGCGGTGACGTCTGGAGCTGAGGATTTTGTGCAGTATTTTTTGATGCAAGGCCTTTAAGAATCTATAACGCAGAATAAGGTTTTAATAGGAATAGGTGGAGTAAAACTTTTCTACTTCTGTTATTTGCTGTTGTTTCTCAAAAACCAGTTAATCGAATTGGATCGTATCATGGTTTATTCTTGAGTATCGAAAATAATCGAATCCTTGGGTCAGAAAATCAATACTGAATCGAATCGCCATGATGGATATGATTTACACCTCTAATCCTAATATTGTGCAACCTTGCCTCTGTGTTATGCAGCAGAAGATATGTTACACTCTATTTTCCATTGTTTTTTTGTTTTGTTTTTGTTTTTATTGTTTGCAAAAAATACTGTCATTTATGACTACTGGATTTTTCTAAAATAAAAAAATGCATATAGACTAGCTGCCAAAGCTAAATAAAGCTATTGAATTTCAGATAACACCCAGAGAATAAAACACTGCACTTAACAAAATATATCCAACAACACAGCTCATAAGTTGTGCTAAGACTAAAACGCTGCTCATGTTACTGTACCCACAAAATCTGACTTAAAACAACTTTCCCCTCTTCTGCCAACTGAATCTATTGTTTTCTCCACTCTGGTGCTTTCATTCATTTTCTTCAAGACAAAGTAAAGTCTCAATTTTAATCAGTCGAGGTTTTTGTTTCTATTTATGTTCAGGTGAATTTAGTTTGTTTAGGAATTGGAGTTTGGTTTGGTTGATACTTACTAGTCTCTTTTTGTATGCATTTGTTTGTTGGAAGTATATATATATATAGAGAGAGAGAGAGAGTTGATTTATTCATTGTTGTCAAAATTCATTCATTCATTTAAACTGCTCTGATCATCGATCTGCCCATGTTTGCTAAATAACTATAACTTGAACTGTGGATGTTTTAGTAAAGTATTGCTCCGCTGTCACTACATGGATTTTTATTTCAGTTAACGATAATAACTTTGCTCATCCAGGAGGAGCGAATCCTCCACTCAGTGACTTTGACACAGTCAGCTGGATTTCCTTTCATAGAAAACTTTTGAACAATCTATCTGTATAATTTTATTAAATAGTCTCTGCAAAGTTCACTGAGACTATATGTGTTGTGGTGTGGTGCTGTAGAAATAAACAGAATTGGATTAACTGATTAACTTTAACCTATATCCATTTACTAATGTTATTTTTTACATATCTGCTCTGCTCACAGTGTAATATGTTGTATAACGAGCTATAAAATGAATCTAAACATTCTTTACTGGAGTACATTAGTGTTGTATAAGGCATGAGGAATGTTACTGAGTGTGCTGCAGCCCTACTACGTGCTTGAGAGATGACCATTTATGGTTGCCTAGTTGCACATCCTGATATGTTTAAGTACAGTTTTTCTTGCATGCATAAGACATTGGGACACTGTAGGGGGTCCATGTTTTTGCTCTGGCTCCTACATTATATTTAGGTGTTAATTTATGGGCTTTGAGAAAAAGAACCCGAAAACTCTCCTGGTTTTGTCACCAAAAAGCTCAATTTTACACTAAAATTACGCCAATCTTACCATTTTTGTCGTCACTTAATTTTTATTAAACACAAAAATGTGTCACTTCTGTCTCGTTATTGTACTTGATTGAATAACCAACTCCTCACCGCAGCGAGATGTTGGTTCAGTGTGTTTAAAACCTTCATCTGCACCTCTTTCAGGTGGTCGTATCTATCCAGTTTCAGTACCATACTCTAACAGCCAGAGCACCAGTAAAACCAGTGTGACCCTCTCTCTGGTTATGCCTTCTCAAAGCACTCTGACCAATGGGACCAACACGGCTTCCACCCTGGAAGAAAACACCCCCACACCAGGGTAAGCTTGGGTTCTTTTCTTCTCCCTGCTGCTTTTCTCCTCCCTTCCTGCTGCTTTGCTTTAGGTTAACCATTTCTCCCCTCCTTTGATGCACCACAGTTCTTTTTTCTTTTATTTTTATTTATTTACTTTACTACTGTAGGTTTGATAGGTTTTCTTTGGTCTTCACACACACCATTTATACTGCTGGGCTTATTTATAGTGTGTTTTAAACAGGCAACATTAGACTTCCTTATTCCTCCTCTGCTATATTTATTTTTAGGTGTGCTTAATTTTCACTCCCCTGCGTCCCGCCACGGGTGTGTTTATTTACATTTAGGCAACGTTTTCTCTTACTCAATGCTGTGTTGTGCGTACAGATTTTGTCAGACACTTTCTAGAAAAGCAGAAGCTTATTTTTCATAGGTGACAAACCATATTTGAATATTTAGTAATACATAGAACCTAGGTAACACTTCAGTTTCAGATGTAATTAAATAGCTCATGGCCATTTCTGTTGCAGTTCTGGTAAATATCCTGTGCTAATTGATGTCTGGAATGGGTTTAGCACATTCATACCCTTTGAACTTTCCACATTTGTCATGTTATAACCGTAATCTTAAAGGTATATATATATATATAGGCGCGGTCTCATTGTGAACAAGCATAAGGAAACAGTAAATTATTGTAAAGGGTTGTGTATAATTTGATCTCTGTGTAAATACACTTGTTCTGTTAAGGCCAGAGTGTTGGAGTGCACACACTGAATCACAAAGAACAAGAAAGTTTTTCTAGTCTTTTCCAAGCTTTCAACAGCTGCACTGTTTGAATGAACAGAGGTTTGCACAACTGCAAGTTTTGTGCTTTGGATATGATGCAGGGAAATGGTTATGTGGTCAGGATTACAACTAAAAGTCAACCAGAGCTTTATATTATTCTATAATGGTGCATTAGTATCATCTATTTTCATCCACCATGAGCTTATCTGATGCTAAACAAGATGTTAAATAGACTAAATTGTTGGTGCTTCGTTTGTGCAGTTAAATAATACTATAGGGTTGCCAGGGCAAAAGGCTAGAGATGCAGCCATCTGATACCTGCACTGGATATTTTCCGTTAGTTATCGAATATCAGAGATCCAATCCAGTGCACCTTACATGAAACTGTTATGTCTTTGTTTTTGCTGGTTATTTGATAAAAAGTAATATAAAGTACATTTATATACGTTTTAATATTTTAGCTTTTTTTTTTTTATGTTAATGTCAATGTTATTCGTTGGATCTAATCAGTGTTGGATATCGGCTTGAGGTATCTGTATTGGATCAGTGCATCTTCGGTAACGGCAGAACCAAATCAGAGGCTGATGAACTACTAAATACTGTGAAACAATCAGTCCAGCCACTAAATAAGTTTAACATGCGCCTGTTATTTTTCAAAGCCAGCATAAGAATGGCATATTGTGTTATACAGTAACTTTATACTTTGAAACAGGCAAAGCACCATTGGTTGCTCGGATGGTCATCGGCTGCAATAAAAAATGGTTAAAAAATTAAAGCAGCTCTGGTAACAATTCAGTCTATTAACTGTTTTTTTTTTTTTTTTCAAGCGGATGGGGGTTCGGGTTCATGCAGCTCAGCTGCACATGTGGCCACTGCCCGTGCAGCGTGAACTACACTTGTTTAGCTTTATAAAAGCTCATAGCGAATGAAAATAGGTGAGCCCAATGCGCCCGTGGAGCAAAACAAATACTCGTGATTTACTTTTGTTGTAATCCTGACATCATACAGAAAGGCTGGTGAGATATGATGAGTGGATGGATGAAGCGATACAGACAATCCTGAATGAGAACCCGGCAGGCTTAATGTTGAGGCACTGGTTTATCTTCCAGCTGCACGTCAGCTCTTAACATACGACCAAGGTTACTTTGAAATATATATATATAAAGAATAGAAAAGACTAAGTCTAGTTGGGAATACATTAAAAATCTGTGACATGTTTAGACATTTAGTCTAATCAAGTTTGAGAAATTTTGCACAGTCGTCGAAAGATTCACTGCACCTTTGCAAAACACTTGCTGGTGCATCTGCTGCTAGAGGTGGTGTTGCAAGAATGTTAAAGCCGAGGAGTACAAATGCACGCCACACTTACAACTTCTGTTAAATTAGTTAGAAAAAAAACAACAGGAATTTGTGGTTGTAGCAACAAAAGAGGAATACATTTGCAAGCTAGTGTACAGCAGTCTGGGTGGTTGAAGCAGATAGCTCCTAGTTTGGCTCAGTCCTTTTAAAAGGGAAGTTGCGTTATAAGCGAACACTACCTTAAAACCTCTTATTTTTCAGTTGGTGTGCAATGCCATTTTGGACAGTGTTGTTCCCCATATGCTAACGCCATGCGAATTTAACATGGAGATTATCAGCAGAGAGAGCATACCAGCAGCTTTACTCTCTTTGTACAGTTTGGCTCTGCCTAATATTCACTTGCCTTGTAACAAAATGAAGGTTGACCTTCACTTCCATAATCAAAATAATTTAACTTTTTGTTGTTGTTGTTGCTTTGGAGATAAAACAAACTGAGTCATGGCAGACCGTTGTGCATTAGGTTACGTGAGGAAATGCATCGATTACCTGTCAGTCACTACATAAACAACAGGCTCGAGCATCCTGAACCTTTCTACTTCAGCGAGGGGTTAAAGTCATGTGAGCTCAACAGTAAACGCGAAATATCTTTTCAACAATTGCCTGCTCCTATATCAGTAGGACATATAACAGACAAGGTTTTATCACGGGAACATGCTTCATGAATCATGAGGGCGTGTCTATGTGTATGTATTCTGTTGATTGACCTTTTTTAGACTTTTTTCTGGATCGTTTAAAAAAAAAAAAGCGCTGTAATTACCCAAAAGTCTTTTAAATACCCTTTGAATTGATCTTAACCTTGTTGCTGTAGAGTCTCTTGTATAGTTGATTGTGACTGGTAATAACTAGTGCTGGTTTGTCCTACTGATTTATAGTTTCTGCCAGTGCACCTCGGCTTGTTTTCCTTTGCTTAGTCCTTTTCAGGAATCTTAATGCAGGTGCTCCTCCTTTGTGAGTTGCAGTCTCTTTCTTTCTCTCTCTCTGTCTGACTCACATCTCTGTTTCTCTTTTTTACTGCTCCGTGTTTGTCATTATCCATCCCGCGTCCTACACTCTGCCTTTGCCTCTTGTTTTTTTTTCGCTCCTCAAGCATGTTGAACCTGACTGCCTGCCGAGCCTCTGTTGACATCCTGCAGCCCATAACTGAACTTCCTATTCCCCGACCTTCTCCTCCCCCTCCTCTCCCACTCTCCTTTTCTGACTTCTCTCTCTCCACCATCCCCCGGCCTCATCCTCCCCTCCCTCTCTCCACTTCTCTGTTTTGTCTCTCCACTCCTGACATGGACCTCTATCCCTGTTACGGCGCGCCCACTCTTTCCTCCTCTATTCCGACCCTTATACCTGTCTCCTCCTCTTCCTCCTCCACCCCCTCTGTTCCCAGCAGCCAGAGCCCCTCAGCCACACTGCAGTCCACCAACACCCAGACACACAGCTCCAGCTCCAGCTCAGGGGACGGAAGCCTCTTTCGTCAGAGAGGGAGCCAAGCAGTGCAGCCTGATGAGACTGGTAGGGTCCCACCCTATGTGGACTTCACTCAGTTTTACCGACTGTGGGGAGCGGACAACAACGACGGTCAGATCTCGCAGGGAGGCCTTGGACCCCAGTGAGGAGGAAGGTCTGAAGGCTCTGCCGTTATGAAACATGTGAAATAATGAACAAAATACTATTATGTACTGCTAAAAAAAAAAAAAAAGAGGGTTTTGTGACCATAACTTGGAAGAGACTGGACTGTCTGATTTATTGAGATGAAACTGTGAGGAAGTGGTGTTGCACCACACCCATTTTTGTGGTTTATTTTCCAAACACAACCATAGTGATTCAGGAGTAATCCAGATTGTTGATGTTAATGTTGAATGGGAATCCAGGACCTGGATGAAAATGTCCTTCAAGGCCTTAAACTGAAATGAATGAATGCATTTGATAGCACTGTCAAAATATATCCTATCTTCAGATGATTTAAGAACTTGTCTGTGTTGTTTTCTTTAAGCAAAAATCAAATAAATGATATTCAATGTTTTCTTAAACTTCCCCAATTAAAATAATTTAGGACAAAATAAATTCCAAGTACCAAAATTGAAGCAGCATTTCTGATTAATGGAGTACATATATCCATATTGATTTAAATATGCAACCTTATTAGATGCTAAGATATAAAAATGTCTTCAGTAAAGTGGAGCTCTTACAAGACCATCTTTATCAGCATTTTCTTTTTATTATAAATTAATGGTTTGTTATCTGTCGCTGATTGGCAAAGCTAAACAGCAGACGCCCCTTGGACCAATCTCTGACAGGGCTGTTTTAGCCCCGCCCCTTGATTTGATGAGGCTTAGAGAATTGAAAATGTCCTGCTTTTATTCCCCAGCTTTAGATGCTGGAGTTCTAAATGATTTTCTTTTTTTAGGGGGGGTGTATTGGTTTTAGGCTTTTCCGGATCATTTCTTTACGCCTCATGTTTAGATTGATCTGTACCTCCCACATCTTATTGCCTCTCTAGAGGGTACTTTTGTGATGAAGACAGAATACAAGCATATGCTTTCACTTACCTTTCATATGTCATCAAGGAAAACATTTCAGACATATATTGTACATATTAAGGAAAAGGGTTTTGGTGTTAGAACTGCTAAAGGGATTCACTACTCTCTCTAACATTTTAAAAGGCATACAAATATTAAAGAATGTTGACTGATACACAGAAGAAGAGATTACTTCATCAACACTTCAAATGGTGCAAAGCACCAGCTTCTGGCATTGTAGGTATTATAAAAATGGTTTATTGGAGAAAAAAACGATCTGTTTCTTTCAGGTTTTAAGTTTAGCTTTCTTAGAAGTCTACTGCTACTGTGCTTTTATTATTTATAGGTTCCACTTTACAAAGCAACTGCCGCTGCAACAGAATAATGCTCACATAGAACAAGAAAGAGGGAAAAAGGGACAAGAAAGGAAAACAAATTAAACGATAAACTCAGAAAAATAACAAAAAGTAAAAAACTAAAATAATATAAGACAAAGTTTGAGATTTGCTTAAAGCCAAGGAATGAAGGGTTTTAAAAATGTATTAGGAGTCTGTTTATCAAGACTTGGTATCAAGTCATCTCATTCACTGCTACCTCAATGTATTAAAATGATTATCCTAAACCAAAATTAATTTAATTACATTGAATTTTTTAATAATGTGGTAGAATGTAGGATCCTGCCATTTTGGCTCTAAGGATTATGAGCGATAAGTAGCTGCTGACACTCACATACATGCATAAGATCCAAAAGTTATCAGAATATTAATATTATTCTCCTAAAAAAGTTCCAGATATCAGTTTATATTTAATTGCACTTTGATTTAAAAAGGTAAAGTACAGATATAGATCTAGTGGAAGTTGATTCCTGGGTCGTGGTGATATAAACAAAGCTCGGTCACCAAGGATCCAGGAGTAAATATTGACTGTCTGACCTTAAGGACCCGGTTCACATGGAAAAGCTCAATAACCTGGAAACGTAAAGAGGGATGCCGCCGATAAAAGCATTAAAAGCAAATAATAAAAGGTTGAAATCTATTCTAAAGAGAGCAGGAAGCCAGTGTAGTAAAAATAAAACGGGTGTTTTGTGTTCCCATCTGAGGGTGTGAATTAAGAGGCCAGCTGCTGCGTTCTGAACAAGCTGGAGGCGTCAAAGGGGCGGCCGGGCAACACCGACATGGTGAGCGATAAGGTAGCGGATTTAGGAACTGATTATAGCGTGAACAATTTTCACCAGGTCACAACATCTGGTGGGGGGAAAAAAAGAACAAGGAAAAAGTCAAAACGCACAACAGAGGGGATGTATTACATTTTTAACCATTCCCAAACATGACTTCTAGGTTTACCATCAACCAAAGATAAAAAAAAAAAATTGATAACTTCAGCAACACAACTTTGGAAGCATATCCGCGTTTTTATATTGCAGTGGTAATTCGCTGTTAAAAAGTTACCAGCTGCTCAGTGGACGGCCTTCTTTTTGGGTGTGTTAAAGCTGGAAACAAACCTATTCAAGTGCAATATTAACTCAGGTCTCACACACTGAGTGTAATAATTTTTTTTATGCTCACTATTGACACTATATACACCTTTTATGATTACACTTGTATCACGGGACAGTTCTCTTAACCTTTCTGTTTCTGGAGACCGAAGAAAAAGGACGCCAACGACTGTGTTTTAACTGGAGTTAAAGCAGAGAAAGATCAGGTACATGTACAAAATCGTTTTAAATTCTATATATTTGTGTATCATCATGTTGTTAACCATTGTTAACTGTTAAATCTTTTGATTTTTTCCTTGTGGTTCTATCTGCATCTAAGGAGAGTAATTTGTCACCTTCAGAGTTTAAAGACATATTTGATCACTTTATTCTGATTCATCATTTCAGTGCACATCTTTGCCTGCCTGGCATATTTTTAAATGAAGGTGGTCAGCAAGTTAAAGAAAAACAAGTTTGAGATAGTGATTTTTGTGTAAGGGTTTTCTGGAAACAGTGGAAACAACACACATGACAACAATGAGTTGCTTAACTCTATTAACTGTATTATTTTGCTTTTTTTTTTTTTTCCTGAAAACAGAATGCGCATTTAAAAACAACATAGAAACAGAGACTTTTTAATGTTAGTTTTGAAATGGGAAAACAAAACAATTATCAGTAACCTTTAAGTACACTTGCAGATATGCTGATAATAAAACCTGTCTTCCTGCATCTGTGCAAAAGGTTAAAATAAATCTACCCACACGGTTGTCTTACAGCCTGTATGTTAAAGCAACCACTCTATAAGTGAATAAGACTTGCATGATTTCTGCCTCTGACGTGAGTTTTCTTTCCTGTTTTAACTCGAAAATAAGCATTAAAGCATAATATGATTTTCTTTTTTTGTTATCTAGAAACACGTATACCACGCTTTATTAAAATTCAAGATCTTGGTTCAGTTCAATTTATTTCTATAGCACAAATTCACACCACATGTCATCTCAGGGCACTTTATAATTCAGCCAGATCATACAGTCAATTGATTCAAAGTTTTTCATCTAAGGAAAGCCAGTTGATTGTAGGGACTTATTAACTCTTCAGCAATCCCTCACACAAAGCAGGCTTATAGTGACAGTAGAGAGGAGAAACTCCCTTTTAACAGGAAGAAACCTCCAGAAGAACCAGGCTCTGTGTGAGCGGCCATCTGTCTGTCCCTGTGGAATTTAATTAGTTTATAGCTTAATAAAAACTGTTGGATATTTTTTTTTTTTATTTGGACTCTGACCAAAGTCACTTTTATCTTCAGTTTAATCTTTTATGTACGTTAGACACTATAGTATTGGCAGCATTTGTGTAAAAATCATATGGCTTCCTTTTCTTTTAGAATTTACTAAAGGTTGATTTCAAATTAAAACTTTCCAGAGGACAATCTTTTATTTGTTTAAACTTATTGGGTGGGAAGGACTTTTATTGAAGACAGGATTGTAAATTAATAACAGAAACTGTTCCTGTCATTAACTTTACCGTCTTCTGGATTTCACTTACATGTAGCATCTGTTGAACGCCTATATGTATGCTGAAGCAGCCTCCAATCGGCAGAGGAAAAAAGGGAAAGTGAGACACGCTCACCATCCAAGAGGATGACACTGACAGGCTGTCATCAATATTTGATAAAGCGAAGAAGCGGCCTGATATGTGGGCTGCCTCACTTCCCTCTAATGGTTACTGATTGCTCAGAGGGGGAACAAATGCAGGCTTTGAGGATGAGGATCCCAGACTGATGAAGGATGTTACACTCCAGGAGGCGCAGCAACCAGCTGGATTAACTGTAACTAGCTGAGGTGTTGCGAGCAACACGGGACGCCGAGTCCCATGAAAAGCAATGAGTCATAAGCCCCTCTGAGTGGTCAAATAAACCCTACCTGGGCTGTTGTTTTACTTGGGTGAACAGTTTGTACCAGTCTAACATGGTTAGTGTTCCATGGTTTTTGATGTTATAGATTAGATCCTATTTGTAAAGAAATGTAAGCATCAGAAGGAGTGGCGGCTGGTGGAGTTTTCTCCAAGGGGGGCTATAAATTCAAAATAGACGTATACTACGTATACACCAGTATATTTATATGAATGTCAACAAGAAAAATCTTTATAAAAACAACATAATTTCATGTACAGGTACTTTTTGTACATAAATGTTGCCCTTCTGAGGCTTTATAAAGGCAAATCTGTGTTTTGCATGGTCCAATAAGGTGTCACAAACCTAAAAAAATAATGTACCAGTTTAATAATGAATTACGGAAGAGGATTAGGGCCACTAAAAAAAAAAAAAGTTAACTGATTTTTATATTTTATTTCAGTTTAACATGGGAAAAAAGTCAGAATTCTGACTTTTTTTCTCAGAATTCTGACTTTTTTCTCAGAATTCTGACTTTTTTTTTCAGAGTTTTGACTTTATTCTCAGAATTCTGACTTTAATCTCAGAATTCTGACTGAATTCTGACAATAAAAAAGTCAGAATTCTGAGAAAAAAGTCAGAATTCTGACTTTAATCTCAGAATTCTGAGAAAAAAGTCAGAATTCTGAGATTAAAGTCAGAATTCTGACTTTAATCTCAGAATTCTGACTGAATTCTGACAATAAAAAAGTCAGAATTCTGAGAAAAAAGTCAGAATTCTGACTTTAATCTCAGAATTCTGAGAAAAAAGTCAGAATTCTGAGATTAAAGTCAGAATTCGGAGAAAAAAGTCAGAATTCTGAGATTAAAGTCAGAATTCTGACTTTTTTCCCATACTATACTGAAATAAAAAAAAAAAATCTGTTAACTTTTTTTTTTTTTCCAGTGGCCCTAATCCTCTTCCGTAGAAAAGCTATTAGTCAGCTTTATATTTTTTTATATATAAAAACTTTATTTTCTGAGAATGAGTTTAAAGTTGTTTAAGAGCACCTATGCAAAAGAACAAACATTTAGAAAAAGTGCAC